CCTCTCCAGAGCCCCAGAGATGTGGGCAAGTGCAGCAGGTTCCTGCTGTGCTGGGGCAGCAATATGAGGGTCAGAGCTCCCTGCTGAAGCTGTGAGCTGTTGAAGCAGTTTGGTGGTCTGGGGCTCCTTTGATGCTCTCTGGGTCTCCCCTCCACCGAGCTGGCAGGGGCTGTGCTGGGGCAGAGGGACCACAGGCAGCTCCTCTCTGGGGACTGGGTGGGTGCTGAGCATCCCTTTGTCCTGCTGCTGCCTCCCAAAGCCACCACTGCCTCCTCCCCTCTCGGCACCCCTGTTGTTGTGTTGGGGCTGGCTGGGAGGCCCTGTTGCTCCTGACAGACACAGCCTGGCTGCCTGCAGGGATCCCGTGTGTGAGTGTGGCCCCGTGTCCCCTGTGGAGCAGGGAAAGTGGGGGATGCTGGTGACATGCTGGCATGCCAATGGCTGCATCCCCTCCCCAGCTGAAGTCTGGAGGGTGGCTTTCAGTGCCCAGGCTCCCTGGCCTCAGGAGGGAGGGCTTGGGATGGGTTTTAGGGATGCTGGCAGAGTCCCTTGTTCCAGCTTTGGGGTGCAGCTGAAGGTGCATTAACAAATGGTGCATGTGAGCAGAATGGAGGAGACTGTGCATGAGCCAGGCTCATTCAGAGGTTACTATTGCTGCCCTAAAGACAAGAGGTGAAGGTGCTTTTATTTTTCCAGTGTAGGTCATGGCCAAAACCACTCACCTGGGAGAGGGTGCAGGTCCTGTGCAGACCCTTCCTTTCTGCCTAGCCTGAAGCAAGGAGTCTCTGCAGTAACTGTGAGCCCACATCCTGAAACAAATCTTTCCTTCACTTTAAAGATGATTCTTTTCCTTATTTTTTTTCCCCTCCAGAAACTGCTTATGCACTGCACATTAAATAGTCATTAGCTAAAAGACTTTGTCATCCAGGGAGCTGAGCTCCCCAGCCATGCCTTTTCCTCAGCTCTTGAGCATCCAAGGTGCCAGCCTGTGGATCAGGCTTTTTCTCACTTGCATTCTCCTTGCAGCAGTTCCAGGAGATGTGGAAGTGACCTTGTCTGGGCTGACAAGCAGGACCAAGGAATGACTTGGGCCCCCTCCAACTGCCTGGGAGGGGAGGAAGGTTTGGGCTGGAAAAGTAGATGGTGAGTTCAACAGCAGGAACTCAGCTGAGTGTGAGAGCAGGTGGTTGAGTTTGAGAGCGGGCTGAGGTACCAGCATCAGGTTGGGCACTGGGTGCTGAGGTGTTTGCAAGCCTGGTGTGGGTTTTGTGTTGTTTCTACCACTGCAGTTCCATGAAGGTCCCTTCCTGCCAGCAGTTTCCTTTGCTGAGCACCCAAGGCTTCTCTGGCAAGTTCTCTGAGCATGAAACTTGTCTCCAGCAGTGCTCTTTGCCCGCAGCAAGCAGGAGTCACTCCTGTGCCCAGCAGGTGAGAGGCTCTAAGGCTGGTTCTAAGATGCTGGAGCTGTGGAAGGAGCACAAGGTGGCAGCCCTGTGACCCTGTGAGTGCATCTCAGACCAGACTTGGTGGGTCTCACCTTGACATCTGTATGCAGGCTCTGCCTTCTGAGCCAGGAAGCATCTCCCACCACCCAGTTTCTTTTCTTAAAACACCATTGTCTTGGTGCCTTGAGTGCACAGGGGTGTCATATGTGAGGTTTCTTTGCCCAGGCTCTCCAGTTTCCACTTTGTAGCTGGACACCACGGGGGAGATGTTTTGGAGCGAGTCTCCACAGGCTGGAGAGCCAGTTAGTTTTCAGGGCTTGGATCCTCCCTGACTGGATTGTAACTCCCTAAATAATGAATGTTGGTTTTCAAATGGAGGGTTCCTTGTTCCTTGCCGAGCAGATGTGAGGACTGAGTTTGCCTGTGGCCCAGAGTCTCCTGAGAAGCTTTTGTTTATAGCATCTGCTGTGCCAAAAATGTGTGAAGCTCCCTGGCAGCAGAGATGCTCCTGTCAGTTGGGTGTCCTTGGCTGGTGTGTGTGTAAATATGTGTGGGATTAATTGGAACAAGCTCATCAGAGGGTATTCAGCAGGTGCAGCACCAGAGGACACCCCCAAAGGCATTGTTGGAGCTGCAGCAACACGGAGGTTTGCCTGCTGTCCTGACACGAGCGGGGTCCTCCCTGGGCGAGCAAAATACAAATTAAACTCTTGCTTTGTAATTCAGTGCACAAAGTTTTTCTTAGCTCCTTAAACAAAGACATGATTGACTTGTCTGCAGTGCCTAAATTTAATTTACCTGAAGCTCGTGGAACATTACCAAATGCCACTCTAAGGCACATTCTCTAATACTGCTGCAGTCACAGGAACCATCTGTGCCAGGACAGCTGTGCCACCTAGAAAAGCAATAAAGAAATGTTCAGGGGGCTGGGCTGCAATTCCTGACATGTCTCAGGAAACCCAGACCTATCAGACCAGGGTGCCAAGCTGAAGATCATCGAGGGCATCCCAGATTCAGCCTCCTCAGTTCTCCCTTCACTAGACAGCTAAGGTGGAAGTTCCCACCATCACTGCGAGCTGCACAATTCCAGAACCCATTTACCTCCCCAGGCTTGCCCTTAGACCAGGAATCTAGTTAATGCTGAATATCACAGAGCTGTCTGAGGTGGGGAAGAGATTGCAGATTGCAGATCTCCCCCCACAGGACAGGGGGGTTGGCTGGAGCTGGGCTGTGTCGTGGTTGGTGTTTCATCCTGTCCCTACAGGGATGCAGGGCTGATTTCTTAGTTCTGATTCTTTCCCCCAGGGCTGGGAGCCTGATCCCTGTAGTCTTTAAGGAAGTGGAACTGTGGGGCTTTGGAAGAGCATCACTCCAGGGCAGGGTAAGGGAAAGCTGCTGGACTGGGATGGGGATTTGGGGAGTGGAAGCCCTCTGGAAATAAGCATTGTGGGCATGATGGACAGGCTTCATTTCAAGTGAAATGAAATTGCAGTTAGAAAATTGGAACAAATAATCCAGTTATTTTTAAGGCCCAGTAATAAATCATTGAAATCCAGATTAATGTATTATTCCCCTTTAGATTTCTCTCTTGAAATATAGTTATTCCCAGCTTCAAACCCTAGCTCTTGCTGCAGCCTGTCCTGGTGTCCATAGGACAGTGCTGTGCTCTCATGTTTCATGTAAGAACAAAAGGAAACAGCAGCCTTGTGGATTATGTGTGCAGTGCTGTAACTGTTTCGAGAATAAAGGCATGAAGTTATTGGGTTGCTTGCAGGACGTGGGTAAAACTTGTGGGGAAAGAAATGGTCATCTTTGAGTAGACAATGTCTTGCTGTATAAAGTGAGTCCAAAGGACAAAAAAAGATGATGTGGAAAAGAAGGAAGCAGGAGGGAACATGATCTGAGATTTTACTTAAGGTCAGGATGCAAATAATTTTACTTTAGAGCTGGTCTCCCAAGTCCAAGAAAATAAGAAGGGGGCAAATGCATCTGTTCCTTGGTCCAGTCCACTAGAAAGGGGAGGGACATTATTTCTAGTTCAAAGTAGTGCTTAGTAAATGTTGTCAATGATTGAGTTTTGTTGGTGCTTGAGACCCATTTTCTGGGGTTGTCTTCTCCTCTTGCCCTTTCTTGCACACCCACTTTGTGTGACAGGCAGAGAGAGGTGGTTTTCAGGCTGGTGATTAGAAGAGGAGTGGCCCTGTTTACCCACAGCTCCTTGTAGGATAAGGGTGCTGAAGAAGAATTGCCACTAGGATACAGTCTGAAGTGGCCCTGCTCTCCCATATGTTGAATCTCTATTTGACCTAATTGCTCATGTTCCTTTAATAGTTTAATGCTTTTATTTCTGCTGTTACAACTTCTAATGCCTATAGGAAGCCTCGGATTCGAATGTTACTCAGTGAAAATTAGGGGCCCTCGTTCTCCAAGGAGAAATGCTCTTGGGCAGTGTGGTAATTTCATGCCTGGAAGGAGTCATATTTGTTGGATAATTTTTGTAACTTAACCAAATTAGCCTTGAGAAGCTACAGTTCTTAATCAGAGCCTTGAACTCTCTGCTCCATTAGCCAGAAACATCAGCTCCCTGCACAAAGGGTGGACACTTGGTTTGCAAAGCAGGAAAGTGCTTTGATTTTGTCAGTGCTCAGGGCAGCAGCGTGCCTTGGGTTTGAGGTTGCTCATACTACTCTGAGCCCTCAGCAGGGACAGACACAAAGCCACATCAGGTCTGCTGCTCTTGCAAAATGAAGCAGCCAAGTGGTGTTTGCCTTCACCAAAAGAAGACTCTTTCAGTGGGAATTAGACTTCTGGGAAGACTCTAAAGAGTAATAAAGGACAGTTTGGGTATTAATAGGGATTTGGTTGATAATTCCAGTAAATGGGGTTCCAAAATCATGGGGGAGACTTGAGGGGAAGGTGAGAAATGCCAACAGGCTCTGATGTGTCTTTGTCCTCTGTGCTGACTGGAACTCACTCGACTGGAGATGACCCAGTGCTGAGGTTCTGCCAAGGAGATCTCTCTGTGTTCTTCTGTGGAGGGGCCTGTGAGGCCAGACAGAGAGAAAACAAGTGCTAATTAATGAGAGAACTAAAACTTGGAGCCATTCCTCTGCACCTCAGCCTTGGCACGACGCTGCTTTCCTGCTTTCCTCAGACTCACCCAGCAGTGACATCTCCACACGCCGTGGGTCGAGAGCATTGTGCAGGGATGGAGTTGGGGGAGTTCTGATAACTCCTCCCCACTCTCTGCAAAGGTCACTGGCTCAATCCACTGCAACTAAAGAGGAAACAAATGCCTGAAGAGCAGAAATCCCCGAATATGTCACATCAAATCACGGAGCAGCTAATGGGACAGAGCCACGTGGTTAGAGCATGTGCATTCTGCTCTATATCATTAATTTACTGATGTTAAATATTTCAGGAAGTAACTTCCAGGACTTCCAGGACTGTCCTAGTGGCTGTGATCACAAATTATTCATCAGTGGCACTTGAACAAGAAAAACCTTTCTGAACAAGGGCATTTCTGAGGCTCTTGTTGGTTTTTTTGCCTTTCAGCTGACTCCCTCTGCCTTCCAGAAGCAGATGTCTCTCACCACCAAGCAGAGGCTGGCCAGCACCTGGGAGATGAATCTGCCCTGGATTGTCCAGCTTCTAGACAGGAGTGAGACCTTCCATCACAAGGTAGCATTTTCCTGCCCTTTTCCTTGCTGTTTGATGTGACATTTGAAGAGGGTGAGTGCTTGTGACAGGCTTGCCTTCAGCTTATCAAAGTACCTCAGTGTCCAGGGTCCTCTTGTTGTTTCAAACTGCTGGTGGTGGAGTTCCTTCTGCTGGGGGAAAGGCAAAACATTTCCCCCTAGTGAGGTTTGCAGTCCTGATCTGCCCTAAGCCAACACAAATAACCTCTGCAGGAGCTGGTGGGGTTTGCTGGAGCGTGGCTAAAGCTAAAGCACGATGCTGGGGCAGGACACAAGGGCATGAGCTTGCCATTTGCCATTCTCCTGCTGAAATAGCCACCTCTTGCTTTGGTGTGGTCACCATCAAATGCTTGGGCTCACAGGATGGCAGTGCTGGCCTTTGAAGGCTGAGAGCCTGCTGGTAATTCCTCCTGATTTAACAGAACCAATTGCATTAATGCTTTGGGTTGGAACCCTGACAGGGTGCTGGGTTTTGCAGGCTGCCAGATACACAGGGGACTCTCCCTGGGTAGAAGGGAGTGGATGTGCTTTGTCTGGTTCAGTGTTTACTTGGGAGGTGTGTTTAAAGCTGCTTTCCTTAGAGGACTGCTGAGTATAAAGCCCAGTCCCAATGGGTAGGTGACTGAGGCAGGCTGTTGAAACTGTCAGCAAGAGGTGGTTAAGGGAGAGCACAGGAGGTTGGGAACACCTCAGACAAGTGCACAAATAACAGACAGTGTGCTGCAGCCACTCACCTCAGCATGGCTGTGTCTTCCTTGGAGATGCAGGAGACCTGCCTGTGTGCTTTGAGTGGCAACAGTGCAGCTGGAGAGGGCAGGCAAAGCAGGGAGGAGTTTTCTCAAAGCAATGTCTCTGCTCTGTGAGCATTTGCTGTTGTATCATTCCATATGTGCCTCTGCAATGGTATTAAATAAATCATCAGTAACAGATTACAAGAAAGCAGCCATTTAAAGCTCATGGAAAAACGAGATACCAACTCCAGTCTTCCTCAAGTTGCCCAGCACTGCTGAGAAAAGAGCTGAACCTTATCACCATCCAGCATTCACCTCATTTGTCTTTTTCCTCACTGCTGGGTTACTTTCTTTTTGCCCTCACCTCCTCTGGTACTGTTCTCTTCTTACTGGTGTCTAAGCTCTAGATAAAAAGAGATATTTGGAGTTGTGTGGGACTCAGTGTCTCTGTCTCAGAGTAAAGGTCATCCCAAAATTGTTTCCCATGGAGACTGATGTAAATTCTGGGGTTTCACTTGCTCCATTGGTGCTCAGGGCTCTGTCAGTCGGTGCCCTGGAGCTCTGTGACCCCATTAGCACAGGGCTCTGCTGGAGGTGAGCACTGCCTGGTGTTCTGGAGAAGGAGACCTGGAGGAATGCTTGCCAAAAGAGCTGCTCAGCTTGAGCCTGGTCTGTGTGGTGCAGCAGCTTTTGATCAGCTCAGAGCAGAGGTGGGTGAGCTGCTGTTTCCCCAGGGGGAGCAGGGCAGTACTCACTGACAGTCTGTACTTCACTGGGGGTCAGTGCAGGATCCTCATTTGTGAACCTTCCTCCCAGCAGCTGAACCTCTCCCTGCTCTCTCTTGCCTCTCCAGGTCTCAGCAGTTGACCCAGACCAGACCTTGTTTCATGTTTTCCCATCAGAGGTGGTATTTCAGAACTACGTCCCACACGAGGTCTGTGAAATGCCACTGGTTCTGAGGAACAGGGACATGGTGAGTGCTGGGATGTGGAGGTTTGACAGTGTGCTGGAAGAGGAGAGAGGTGCAATTCCTGTGGTGTAAGCAGAGCAAGTTACCTGCTGCAGCACATCCAGAATGAAATGTCTCAGCACCTCTGTTTGGCAAGATGATCCACATCTTCCCATGCTGGGGATCCTCTCTTGATTTTGGCTGTGTGTTGGTGGTATCTACCCCAAAGGAGCTTTTCTAGCCCCTTTCTTTCCTTTGAAAGGCCTGAATTGATGGGGATGTTGAGGGCTGCACAGTTCTTACCTGCTCTCATGCTTTAACTCGAGGGTTCACCCTGTCCTGTGGATCCTTGGTCAGTCTTGGTTCCTGGCAGGAATCTCTGCCTCTCTCAGCCTGTTTAGCTGCCTCTGTGCAACTCACACTCAAAGCTCAGGGGTTGAGACTTTTCCACTTTATGCTGGAATTAGTTATAATTAGTGGCACTGGCACTGCAGGAAATGTGTTTTGAAACAGCCCTGGAATCAGACTGATTTAGCAGAAGCAGTGGGAGGCCTTTAGGTGCCACTTCAGGCACCTGCTAAGCTTAATTCAGCTCTGCTCAGGTTTTCCAAAGGCAGCGTGGTGCTCTGCTTTCCCTTTGGAGAACTACAGCACATCCAGAGCAACGTGCTCTCGAAGGTCTCGACCCTCACTTGAAAAAAAAATTGTGATTGTTTTGCAACTTCCCAAGAAAGTTGAGAAGGGAAAAAAGTTGAAAAATGTCAGCAATTGTGTTCCACTGGAGAAAAGAAAACTGAGACCTTTTGAATTTCAGTCAGGGGAACGTTTTCTCAAAAGGTTCTTGTGCCAGGAGCAAGCTGGGGGGAAGCGATGGGATGGAGGAAAGGAGCAGGGTTCAACATTTTCTCCCAAAACACTTTCTTGCACACAAAGGTTTCTCTTGGTACATAACATTAAACGTACTAGAAGTGGGAAAAGGCCAGAAAAACAACAGTGTAATTAAAGATGTTGTTCTGTAATGAGAAGTAAGATGTATGCATGAGAAAAAGGCAGGATGGGAAGATGGAGCTGTGCACAGGAGCAGGTGAATTAACACCCTCTCCAAACCTACCTGGTGGAGGGGAAAAGACAAGTGGACAAAACAAGCTGTTGGGGCATATTGCAGGTGGAGGAACAGTAAGAGAAGTCAAAATATATCCTGAAATAACAGGTTTTGACAGGGACATGGCTGCAAATGGGAGACCCTTTGGCAGGGAAGGATGCAGGTGTGGTCCCTCAGTTATTCCTGGAGAGTAGTGCACCATTCCTGGCCTGGCATTTATCCTGGGAATATTGGAAAGGTGCAGCATGGGTGCCCATGCCCAGGGGATGCCATTGGTGGGGTCCACACTGATTCTGGGCACTTTTGCTGTAGGTTTCTCTCTTTGCTGATTCAAACGTGCCTCACTTTCTCTTTTCCTACTGCTCTTTTTCATTTCCATGGATTCTTTTGGCTTCAGCTGCTCCAGTATCCGTGAAAGCTCTTCAAAATGTTTGTCTTTGCCAAGTACCAGCCCACAGACAAGCAGTGAATTTGCTCTGCTCGTGCTTCCTCAAGTGGAAAAGGACATTTGCATTAACATTTCTGCCCTTCCCAGTAAAAAATAAAGAACTTGTACAGCTGCATCTTGGGATTTTTATGCCCTGTAAAGGGCTGTCAATTTTTTCTCCCCAGAAGAATTAATTTTGAAGTTAGTAAGACCTCAACCATTGGACAGCACTGCTGTAAAAGTAAGATCAGCTCTGAGGAAAACACTTGGCATATTTAAGTGCACAGAGAGACAGAGGTGATAATCCCAAGAGAAGTTATTGTATTCTAATTTCATTGGCTTTTGGTAATGTCCTGGAGAAAAGCAACACCATGCTCTGTCTCCAAGGTTCCTCACCAGATTCCCAGATTCCTCTGAATCATACTGACTTTGTGTGGTAGCCTGAGGTTGTCTGCTCCATAAAAATCCAGCTAACAGCCAAGTGTATTCCAAATGGAAGCTCTCTAGCTGTGCAAATTCGGAAGTTCTTCACCTGCTTGTTGCCAAATTGCTTTTCTGTCTTCTGGCTGCTTCTTGCCACCCTCAGAGATGCCCTGGGTGGCTTTTGCTGAAGGTCTTCGCTGGGTGTGTTCATCTCCCAAGGGTCCTGGTGACCAAAATGTTTCTCTGCAGTGTGAAATTGGCCCCTGGAACTCGCTGGAAGCAGAGGCTGTTTGGAGAGCCTTGGCCATGGGTTATCAGGCTCGGGTGGGTGGTGCACAGTGAACCTCCATTTTTTTTCCAGAGTCTCATGTGAGGTTGTTGTTTATCAGTGAAGCTGCCTATCAGTCAGAACCGCCTGTTTTAGACTATGTGAGATATGAGGTTGATATCTGTGTGCCAGAAAATGCCTGCTTGCTGTCTCTGTGTACCCCAGAGGGCAGGAGCTGGCAGCAGGGTGCCTGCAGGGTGAGGGGAGGAATGCCCAGCTGCCCTGCATTGGCAGCTGCCTGGCCACAATCACCAGGCAGCAAGAGCTCCTGGAGAGCCAAGATTGGCTTTTAATAATGAAACCACACTGTGAGTCAGTGCTGGTCATGTTTCTCCAGGCAGAAAATGCCTTTGAAGCCCATAATTGATAGGCACAGCCTGGGGTGTTGTCTGGCTCTCCATCACTTTGGCAAGTTGATTGCTCTCATCTTCTGTATCAGCCTTTCCTGGTGGTGTCTTGTGCTTCTTCCTTGCTTCTTTACAGCCCATTTAAATTCTCCATCTCCTTGTTTCTGGGGTTGTCACTTTGCTTCTTTACAGCCCATTTAAATTCTCCATCTCCTTGTTTCTGGGGTTGTCACTTGCTGTGTTCCTCCTCTTGCTCGTCAGGTTTGCTTTTACTCCCAGTAAGGCCACGGTGTCTGGGCTTCTCCTCTTGCTGGTCTGCCCACTGTGAGCCCACAGCAGACTGCCCCACTCAAACCCAGTCTGTTAGAAGGGAATTTCTTCCTTCCCCCAGGCTATTTTGCCTTCAGGTAGCACATTCCCCTCCGGAACAGGGCTGCAGGACTGTGTGCAGGCAGAAGCAAGCAGGACTTTGGGCTTGTGGAATATGCAGATTGTTCAGGTGTTCTGTCTCCATACTGCTGGTGCCTGACCTGCTTGGCACTTCCCTCCCAGAAGGCATTGCCCTCCTGCCTCTGGCCGAGATGCTGTTCCCAGGCAGGTGGGATTCAAGTCCACCCTTGTGTACTATGTGCTAAAAGTGCTTGGGAATTTGGTTAAGGAAGGATGTCACCAGGGCATGGTCAGGTCTCTTCTCCTGCCCTTGCCACAAGTGGCAAATTCATCATTCCACATCTTTCCTGCAGGTTCCTCAGCTGGTGAAGGTCACTATGGAGAGCTCACCTTATTTCAAGTTGGTCGGCCCCGGTGGTGAGTGCTGTGAGGTACCACTGTAAAGTCTTGTAAAGTCTTCTGCTTTACACACCCCCTTTGGCCCTGAGCAGAACAAGGTGAGTCTGGAGGAACATTATCTCTAAAGCCATTGTTTTTCTTGCCCTCTGGTTACAGTCCACCCCGTGCTGCGAGGTTGGCTCCAGGCTGTGGGCAGGCAGCCTGCAGCAGGTCACACCTTGGCATGGGGTGCTGCCAGTCACTGCAGCCAGCCTTGATGGGCTGTGCTTTCCCTCCAGGCACTTCCTTGAGCATTCCCAAGGGAAGATGCACATGGAACAGTAGGGAAGTGACAGGGAGGGGTGTTGATAAGATGTTTAGCCATCTCTAGGCTCAATGGAAGGGGTTTAATAATTATGGAAAATACTAGAGGAACAGATAGATTCAGAGAGCTTTTCTCTTTCCCACTTCCTGCCTCACCCTGGGCTGAACCAAAGATGATGCTTTTCCACACCCTCTGTTCTGCAGGCTCTGCTGTCTCTGAGGGCACTTGCCTGCCTGTGATCCAGCTGTGAGGCCAGGGGAGGGGACGTGCTGTGTTCATGGCAGGGAGCCAGCCTGGCACGGGCACACTGAGCTCTGGATGCTCTCAGCCAGCAGGAGGTTGTTGAGCTGCAGGTGACTTGGACTCCTGCCCCAAAGAGCTCGTGTAGGGCAGGTACAACCTGCAGGCAGGTGTTGCCCCAGAGCCCGTGGGTTGGGTCCTTGTGTGTGTCCCTGTGGTTGATCTGCCAGCTGGCACCTTTTCCGTGCCAAACGTGCCATGCTTTTGCTGGGAGGTTGGAACATCAGTGCTGAGGCCCTGGCAAGTCTGATCTCAGTGCTGGGATGTGAAGGGTCGATGCTCTTGTCTGGAGGCTTGTTAACACCCAGGGATTTAGGATATGGCGTGGAAGGGAGGAAACCTTGCTGGGAAACAAAGAGAGGCAGGCTGACTCTGCCCACCAGCATCCTGCTACCTCTTGGCACAGTTCTTTGCCTGACCTGTTTGGGGAGGCAAAGTGAGGGGGGAGCTCTGAGCCAGCTGATGTTTCTGCACCAGGGCAGAGGTGCAGAATCTCTTTGGGCACAGCTGTTTTCTCATCTTTCCTTTGCTGCTTAGAGTTGGTTTAATGCTTTGTCCTATCCTCAAGCAACATGGATATAGAAACCCAAAGAGGAAATGCCCTGTGTTCCCAGCTCCTTGTCCTTAGGAGGGACTGAGGAATTATTTAACATCATTAAAATTTAGACTAAAAATTATGCTGGCCTAGAGCAGTTCTCTGTACTACCCAAGTGACACAAGAGCTTAATGTCACTGAGGTAGGCTTTGAAAAGTACACAGGTGTCCTTAAAACGTGATTTATTAGTACAAATTAGTGTTCATTTTTGGGGTGGAAGAGGTGAATTGATGCCCACGAAGGGCAAAGCGCTGCTCTCGAAGTTTAGAGAGGCAGCAGAGCAACATATGAACATGGCCACAGATGGAAGGAGGGTGAGATAACCCAGGAGAGCACTGATGTCCCAAGCTCTGTCCCTCGCCTCGCCCTTGAACTGGCGAGGGTGTGGCCCAGGGAGCTCTGCCAGCCAGAGCTCCTCTGCTCAGCTTCAGCAACACCCCGGCAGTGTGTGCTGAGCGGGGCTCTGGGGGCCGTGCAGGGCATCAGGGGAGGGCTGTGCTGCTCTGCAAGGAGCACGGGGGGGGTTTTACTGCAGAATCAGAATTCTGTACGAGTTGAACATTTTGTCTCGTGCCTGATGGAGCTGCGAGTCAGCGAAGTACCCGAGTGCTGTGGCTCAGCTAGAAATGCATCGATAGCACGGGCAGGAGGTGCAGAGCACCTTGAAAACCCCTTAGCAAGGAGGCAGGCACTGAGAAATGGTTCTGAAAAGCCACCTGCGTTGGGCTTGCAGCCACTGGCATGCAGAATACCTGTGTTTTAGTTCTGGAAGGCCTAGGATGCTACTTTGAACCTCTACATCTCAGCTGCTCCGTGATCCACGGGGCACAAACCCCTGTGTCAGGGCTGTGGGCGTTGCAGTTGGTTTATATAATTCTCTTGCTTTAAATCTGTTTTTTCCCCTGGGGTAAGCCTGACTTCAGCGAAGACGCTCCTGCTTCAAGGCAGTAAAATTGTGTCTGAGCCCTAAATAAAAGGACCATGTGAGTTGTCAGTGGCTGAAATGCCACGTGCCACGTTGCCCTTTCTTGACAAACGAGCAGTTCCCCGTCGTCCTGCAGTGGTTTGGGAATGTGCCGCACGGTCGGGCTGCCAGAAAGTAAATGAATAGCTGGCGTGTCTCTTTGTTTATTGGCACTTGCATTATAAATATGAAATGCTAATGTTTCTGCTGGGCAACATTTCCAATTAGTTCCTCTTGCTGCCTCTGATTTACACGTTCCCCTTTTGTGGCTCCAGTTGCCCGGTGTGGGTCTCCTCATGCCATCCCTGTGTTCCTGGGTGTCCTTGCATTGTGGTCTGACAGCCTCTGCCTAATTGGAAACCATTATGGAACTGACTGGCAAATACCCAAAAGACAAGAATATTTACATTTGAGTGTCCTTCAGGCTTATTAATAGATTATCTGAAAGGAAGAAGGAAGCAGGAAGCATATAAAATCAGCGCACAGCTTATTCTGTTCTGTCCTCTTGTTCTTTCCACTGTAGCAAGACAATATTTTCAGGCAATACAAGTTCAGCCTGTAAGGTTTGCAAAATTTATTCCTGATGACTGAATTACTGCTCACTGATTAATAGGAAAGATGACAGGACAGTGAGTTACTGCATTACTGAAATTAACTCCTTTAAAATTCGGTTCCAGCCCTGTCAGATGTTTTGTAGCACACGGAAGTTACTTCAAACAGGCTTTTAAGATGACTCTTGAGGGGACGAAAGGGACAGAGGATGAAGGCAAATTGCCCTGCACAGAATGAACCTGGAGCGCAGTGACTGATTTCAAAGACTCCTGTGGGTTGGTAGCTGAGGGGGCAGGAGCAGGGGGACCCCTTCTCCTGAGGAGCTCTCCTCAGGCACCAGTCTCTCCTCTCTTTTAATGGCCATTATTTTCCAGCCTCTATGATATCATGGTTTCAGCAGGGAGCTTTCCCTGCTTGACTTACCATGTTACCTCATGCTACAGGGATCTTTTCATTACAAGTTTTCTGCTGCAGGGAACTCAGTGAAGGATTCAGGATTGGTTATGCAGGATAACTGACATCCGAGTCTGGTGTACTGGGCAGGCATTAAGGTTGATGTCACTGTGACAGCAATTAATTCTGGTCTGAGTCTGCAAAGGGCCTGAAAGCAGTGCTGGGTTAATGGTTGCACTTGATGATCTTGAAGGTCTTATCCAACTGAAACAACTCTGTGATTCTGTGAAATAACACTTGAGACAAGCAGTTGGTTTAGTTTCAGTGGATACTAATTTGAATGCCAGGGGTGATATTTGGAAGGCCAGAGCTGGTAAGTTACTGCTTATCAAAGGGGAATAAGAGCAGAGGAACCATTCTACAGTCATCTGTATTTTCCTTGAAATTGAGAAATTGTCTGAAGACAAAAGTCGTATTTTCATGAAAATTCATAGCCTCAAGCTGCATCTAAAGATGAGAAGTGATGCATCTTCTTTAAAGCAGAGAAGTGATGCATCTTCTTGCTCACTTAGGCGTGCTTATTTAGAAACCTGGTTTGAAACAGTCTGCTTAGGGTTTTCAGTTGCCAAGTAAGGCAAGATTTTAAACTGGTTTCAGCTGTACCCCTGGGTTTTGTAGCAGAGTTATTGCCCTCATAACACAGGGCAGTGCTGCAGAGGAGAATTTGCAACCCTCTTCTCCCAAGAGAGGGCAGTTCAGCTTTCTAAAGCTGAAGGGGCTGTGGCTTCACAGCAGCATGGACAGGCAGCTTCTGCCTAGCACACCCCTCTCTCCTTGGGTTTCCCCCTGTTTGTCCTGACACTGCATTCACTTCTGGTGCAAGTCCCTTTCCCCGAGCTGTGCAGGCAGTCCCAGTGCACCCACTGACAGTGGAGCTGGGAACAGCTGCCTGGGCTGGCTTTTGGAGGGATTCATTCCTTGGGCTCTTATTTACATTCCTCTTGATTCCCTCACTCCTTAGCAGTGGCAATGACTTGAAAATTTCCTTTTACTTCCCTGAAATACCTCCGGTTGCTGAAGTTTCTTTTCTTTTTATCCCCCTGCTGATCTGAACTCCTTGCATCCTCCTCTGTCTACCTGGCATCTGGAAGGGAGAGATAAGTGAATATAGCATGCCAAGGCTTAATAAGACACACAGCTTTCAATTGGATTTACAATGCCTTTGTTACAGTAGTGTGGCCAAAATAACAACAACAACAAAAAAAGAGGTAAATAGCATTCTTCATTTGCTAATGCATTTCTGAGGATCTGAGCAGGCTGGGACCCAGATAATAGGTGCTTTAAATTCCCATGGGCTGCCCATAGCTTTTATTTTAGAGGGCTTAGGCTGCAAGACTGAGTGCAAAACTGCTAATTCAGAAAGACTTGCTGAAGATGAAACGCTCTCCTGAAATGTGATCTTCGATTCCGTGGGTCGTTTGCCGCAGTTCCCTTCCTGGAATTTTACCTTTCAAACAGGAGGAAGCAAAAGCCCTTCTGCAATTTCCAGTGTGAATATTTGAGATGCCTAGGGAACAAAAAAAAAAAAAATAAAAATCTTTCTTTACTCTTTCATCGTCTTGGATGTGACAGCAGCTGTTAGGGTGACCTTAGGCCCCAGCTGAGCAGGTAATTGGCAGGCACTGGGTCTTAGCTGTTGGGTTAAAGCAGTAGCTTTGTGTCTGTGCCTTGTCCAGCAGCCTTAGGATGCTTCCAGGCTTGGAGAGGATGGGTATGGAAGCAGGAGGTCCCAAGCATGGTTGTGGTTAAGGGAGTTTGCTGCTGTGTGCAATCCTTAAATCAGATTGTCTTGCTTGCTGCCTCAACAATGATAAAAATATCAAACGAGTTAAAGGCACCGAGGAAAAAAGATCAGGCCAGTAAGTGAGTGATAAGAGGCAGAGCTTTTATCAACTCATTGATACAGGAGCTGCTGGAGGCAATGGCTCCTGGCCCTGCTGCAGCAGCTTCACCTCTGATTCCAGCACAGCAAGGCCCTGCTGTACACCTGGAGATTGATCTGCTCATCCCTGCAGTAAAATGGTTTTGGTGATTTGATTCACCTTCCTACTGCTAAATGCCAGAGTGCTGGCAGGGGGGCTATCTGGCTCTTTCCTGAACAATGACTGGGAATAGCAGGGTTTAGTTTGCTGTGGTAGGATGGGATGTCTCAGGGTTTCCCATTTACAGATCCTGATCCCACCCTTGTCCAGGTAGGCACCCAGTCACTTCTAGAGACTTTGGAAGAGAAAGGTGATTAAGACCATCAACCTCTTGCTGCAGAAAGGGAGCAAAGTTATCTGCTGTGTCCTCTGAGGCCAGGGTGAGATGTAAAGGAAGATTATGATTCTACCACAGGAAGAACTCTAAGTCTCTGGCAGAGCTGGAACAGGCTGCTGAGGGCAGGGGTGGAATTCTTAGTGATTTAAGTACTTGTTAGATATCTGGCAAGAATAGTTTGGGGTTAGGGCTGAGTCAGTTCTGTGTGGGGAGATAAATCAGATGGTTTTTAAGGGTGTGTGTTCCCAGCCTTGTCCCTATGATATTATGGGAAGGGAGGGGGAATACACACATACCCCACATTCACCTGGCATTGAAGCAGCTGCTGTGTCCACCTTGGTAAGTATTTCACCAAAGATGGGCTGTTGATTGTGCACGTGGCAAAGTCCTTTTGAAAATGTACCTGAGCATGCCCTGCCAAGCTCCACCGGCATCACTGCACTGCTGGGGCTGGAGTTACTGCTGTGGCACAACTGGGCCCTCAGTGGTGCCTTTGACAGCCTGCAGTGGTGGTCAAAGCAGGTTCTGCTATTGCTGCAACCCACTACCTGAACTTATTCTATTTTGGTGCCTCAGAATCGAAGTTTCAGATAATTTCGTCCCATTCTGCCAGTGTGCTGTGAAAGCAGGTGAATCAATAGGGTTATTTCTTCTTTGCAAGTTAGCAGCCCTGTCCAAGTCATCCTACTGGAATGAAAGGCCTTTGAGGTACAAAGTACTATTAATTATTGAATGCTACTGTCAGGGGCATAAAAAACAGCAGTTTTCCTGCTGCCCTGGGGATGGCACTGAATGTCCTGTGCTGAGACTGTTTCTTTTGCTGCAGGATTGTTTGCACCAGCTCCTCTGCATCACCAACAGGGGGAAGTTCATTGTGCCAATCCAGGCTGTTGTCTTGGACTTCCCTGCCCAGCTGGACTTCTCTGTCTGTCCAGTCAAGTACAGCACCCAGAAGACTCTGCTGGTTTGCAATCTTGGTAAGTGGGAACCCCATTACCAAACTGGCCCTCAGAGGCAAAGCAGCTCATCTTTCTTTGTGCCAAACACTTCCAGTGCTTGAAGCAGGATGAGCTTTCTCACAGTTTTCCTGCAGAGTGCTGGAACGTGTCAGTAGCTGGCTTGCACCCTCCTGAGCCCCAAGCACCTTCTGAAATGATTACCTACCCCTGTCAGCCAAGCAGACCCACTCTCTGGGAGGCCACAAGCACGTGGCATTCCAGTGGTCCCCTCATCAGATGCCCAACGTGAGCTGTGTTGTGAACAGCCTGTGCTGCTCCTGTTAGTCAAAGCTGATCTGATTTCTCTTGTCAGCTGACTGCATCACTCATCTCTTCTCTTTCATGATGAACCTTTGAAAGTCAGTTTAAAATTTCAAACAGATTATTCAAATCTTTCAATCGAAGCAGCATTTTATTCTAATTAAGTCACCCCTACGTTCCTTCAGATTTCTTTTTAAATACTCTGAAGTTTCTGTGTTTCTGCCCCCTTTTTTAATTTACTTTGCTTTGTGTTAAATGTTCATCAGAATGTCATCATGAGCTTCCTTATAGGTTGAGCTCCTCTGATGCCTGTTGATCTACCCATCTGCCCATAGGTACATGCCCAGGTGTATAGGAAAGATGAGAAATTTGGGGTATATGCAAAAAGCAATTGGGCTGATTTAGAAGATAAAATCACAGAATAACTTTTGTTGTGAGGGACCTCTGGAGATCATCTGTGTTTGTTGAGCAAACACACTGCTCAAAGCCAGACCAGTGTCTGGGGCTTGCAAGGTGCCTTTGGGAGATCTGGACCTGTGAAAGTTTAGATGTCATACAGGAAAGCAAACATACAAAAGGGCGTAGTTAAAAAGCAGAAGAAAACAAGCTATTAAAGAACCCTCCAAACCTTATCTTTTCTGCCTGTCGGGAGCAGAAGTGATTCATTGAAAGGGTAGATCTAACAGGATGGGAATTATCTTAAGGAACAGCTCGCAATTAATGGATAAAAGGCCAAAGTTTAGCCTGCCAACCCCATCTCTTGGCACTGGTTTTCGTTTGGCTATTACAGCGTGTCAGGGATGTCTCCTTCGCAGCTCTTCTTATCTGTGGGCTCAGGGAACAGCTCAGTGATGTTGGCTGAAATTCAGAGCAGCAGTTAAGTTTAACCATGGAGTTTGTGCCTTTGGGCCTTGGAGAACCAGGTCTATGTGAGGGATAACGAGCTCCTGCTCCAGCAGTAACAGAGGTGGCTGGTGGGCACAGCCCGGGGGTAGGGATGTAGGAGGTGATTTGCACTCACTTTCTTAGTCCTGAGAACTGAGTCCTGAACTTGGCTGGATCCTCTTCTGATCATTTGAAGATATCTTCTTTCTGAGGCAACCCCTAAAGTCACCTTCAGAAGTGTTATTCCCATCCAGCCATCCGGGGGCAGGAGTATGTAGGCAAGGGGCAGGAGCAGGAAGGGAATGGGATGGAAGACATTGCTGAAGTGTTGCCAGGCATTCCCTGTTTCTCTGTTCTGGCAAAATTTCTGGCAGAAGAATAGGAAAGAATATTCTGTGCCTTTCCTACCCCAGGCAGTGATTCCCCCCTGAGCCCCAGCAGAGCCCTGCAGCAGTCCTGGCATCCCCACTGGGGCAGATGCAGGAGCACGGAGAGCAACCCAGCTCTGGGGCTGGAGGGACCTTGTCTTTCCTCCTCTCCCTCCGACCTCTCAGGCCCAGCACAAAAACATTGCTGGCCCAAGGCTTCTCCATTAGCCAGTAGTGGTGTTCTCACTGGTGGTGATGGGCCCGGGGCAGGTCCCTAATTGCAGCAATAGCTCCTTAATGAGCAGGAACTGCAGCAATTCCATCGGCTGTCACCACTGACAGGAACAAAGTTCAGCTTGCTCACAGCTCCAGTTGTTCTCATTATTTTTTGTGTGTGTTGCATTCTCTAATCACCATCAAACTCCCCAGAACATGTTTTTAAGGTGACAAATTGACCACCAGCAAAGAACTAAGATCAAGAACTTTTGTTTTCTCAGTGGGGCTGTACAAGGGCACAAAGCCCAGCAGCCTTTGGGCAGAAGCTGTTTGAGCTGAGCTATCCCTAAGCATCAGAACACTGAGTTTTGTGTCTGCCAGCCAGGAGCTGTTTACCTGGCAACAAATCCTAATTGCTCCTGCTACATCCAAAGTGCACCAACACATTTTCATAAATATTTCCAACACATGGCACAGAGTTTGTCTGGTGGGCCAAGAAAACAGTTACCAGCCTGGATGACAACCCAGAGTCCCAGATTGCATCACTGGTGAATACACAGAAATGCACTGTTCAGCTCCCTTGATGTGCTCCTATTAATGGCATTTCATTTAGCTGGGGTTGAATCCTTCAGGTTGTAAATGGGATCCTCCTTTCAGGTCTTGTTTCAGTGTCACTGTGTTGTTCTAATCTGAATTTGAGCTCATTTAGGGTTTTGATTGCTCCTTTTCTTAGAGCAGCTTTCATTGAAATGCTGATAAAATGTGCCCTTTCTTAGGTTAGAACAGGATGTTTTCAAGGTAAAAAAACCCCAAACAACCACACTGCAAATTAAACAATAATTATTCTTTGGTCTCCAAGACTTTTACTCTCCTTGTCTGATTCCTAGGCTGTAATCTCGCAGGACAGGTATTGTCCTAACATTTGCATCTCTTAAGGTAAGGTTTAGAGGTGGCAGGAAAAGAAAGATTCCTGAGGCAGTGAGTGTCAAGCTGTGCATGCAAATAGCTCTTAACCCTCTCTGTGCTCTTCATAAACCATGCTCTGATGGGATTGCTGGCAGTCGGACCCTTGAGCCTCCCTGCAGAGAACTGGATGCAGAGTATGGGGGAGATGAAGTCATTTTGTCCCAAAGGAACTTCTGGGGGCTGGATCTCCTCAGAAGTGAGCCAGGAGCAGTTTCTCATCCTGTGTGTTCTGCTCTCTGCTGACTGTGGTTGGTTTGCTCCTTCCTTGCACAAGTGAGCTGAAGTGAAGTGGACTGCAAAAGGAATATCGTCCCCAAATCTCCCTCAAGAGTCCTGATCTCTCTCTGTGTTGCAGCCCCTTCTCTGTCATTCCAGCTGTTGGGACTCTCGACACTGGTGACACCGTACAAGTGACGGTGGAATTTCTCCCTCTGCAGACCAGGGATCGTTCCACACCCCTGGTAGTGCACTGTGGCACAGGTGAGTGCTGGGCACTGCAAGGTGCACTCTCTGCATCCTCCAAAGCAGAGCCCTTTCTAAGCAGAATAACGCTGAACTCGCTTTGCAAACTATTTCTGGAACCGTTTCTTTCAAAGCCTCCCTGTGTTTCAGCGCTTAGAAGGGAGCAGAGGAGAGGCCAAGGCTGAGTCTGTCCCTGTTCTGTATATGCTGTGCACATCCCTGGGGGGGACCCTGCTGTCAGCAGTGTTCTCCATCCAGCACCCCCCTCTTCCATCATTCCCCACTGTTCCAGCCACCCCAATTCCCTCTCCAGCAGCACCGCCCCTGTCCCAGCTTTACCACGAAGAAAAGCAAAACCTAGTTGGTGTTTAGGGTGTTGACAAAGTGGATCCCCTCAAAGAGGGATGAGATTTTTGGAATCCTGTTTTGCTGGGAGTTGCTGAGTGGAGGAAGGAGGAACCTTGGTTCTCCCTTACAGTGTGGATACGTAGGGGTCAAGTTTTCCTAGACAGTGCTATATGTGACGTGTAGCATCTCTATCAGACTCTCTCCAGTGCCCCCTGTCTCTTGCACACCTCTGTCCCATACACTGTTTCTCCACTGTCTTGCCACAGACCCTTTATCTGTGTTGCCCTCTGTGCCTCTACATCCCACACTTCACAACGACAGAACTAAAGCAGCCAGGACTTGAGGGCTCTTGTGAGTTGGCAGGAATTGCTCACATGGAGCACAGGGAAAGGGGCTCCCCAGCATCGTTTCCTCCCCATTGCTGCCTGCCAGGTGTAGGGCAAAATGTGATCAGCCTCATGTTCCACAGCACGAGGCTGCAGCACAGAAAAAGAAGCCCTGGGAGCTGACGTGGGGCTCTTCAGTGACCTGTGGAACAGCAGCGGGTCTGATGGGATGTATTAGAGCCATTGGGGCTTGGTGAAGATGATGAGTAACTACAGAACTGGGTGTGCTTGACTGGCAGCAGGGGAAGCAGGCTGTGTGTCTTGGCCCTGCTGGTAAGCTGTAGTAGAGGCTACGTGGCACTGCAAGTGGGCCAAAGGGAGTTGCCAGCTGTGTTAGTGGCTGCTCAGCTGCTCAGAGCAGCACAGGGCTGCTCAGCCGCACATAAACCTGTCGTGATGCTGAATCTCTTTCTCTGGGTAAAACTGATGCGGGGTTTGGCCAAATCAGCTTCCTGCAGTGTGTGAGACCACGTGAGGGCTTGGCAGTGTGTTAGTGCTCACTGTGCACGTGCAGGGAACTCCTCAAACCCCAGCCCTGGTGGATTATTGCTGGCTGAGGCTGAACAAGGAACTGTGGCATGGGTGTGCCAGCACCTGTCAACATCTCAGCTGCCCACAAGGGTAAAGCATCCGAGAGAACCACTGCCTTGCTCTGATACTCATCTGTGCCTTTGCCTAGACTTTGCAGAAAACAACCACCTTTGCATAGCTCTGTTGTCTCTCCTTAAAAACCCCCTTTCTACCAAGGGTTGTCAACTGTCTGGCAAGGCTGGCACTTCAATCACTGGCTTGCAGGAACTTGTTTGAAAAATGAAATGAAAATCCTATTGATTTAGTCTTTAGATCAAGCCTTTTCCTTTCTTTCTTTTTTTTTCCCCTTTCTTTTTTTTTTTTTTCCTTTGCAAATCCCCCGATGGATGTGGATAGGCAGCAGGGTTTAACTGAGGTTTAGCTCTTGTCGTGTTGCATTTTTACATTCCTGAGATCACTCAAACAAGTTCCTGAGTGCTTTCCATTTATATTGACTTCAGCCAGAATGGAGGACGCTCAATACTTGCCTGGGCAACTCACTGCTGTGTTAGCTATTTATCTGAGTCATCCCTGTGCTGTGCAGGATACCAGAGTGGGAATCCCAAAACCATTTTCAGGTTGAAATCAGCCTGGTGTGAGTGTTTGCAGGGGCTTTGCTGCTGCTGTGAGCAGTGATAAGTTACTATTGGGCTAAATTCATGCCAGCACACCCTGAGCTCCTGTTGGCCACTGCTGTGTGCCACTGCTATTCGAGCCTGGAGTTGTCCATCTTCATGCAACTCTCCATTCCTTCAACCCCAGACAGATTGGTAGGAGCTTCTTACAGGTGCTCAGAGGAGGGGGAACTTTCTGCTTCCCAAGCAGCAGCCTCTTCTGACTCCAGGGCTTCACTGTGGTGCACCAAGTGATGTAATTTTTCCTGTCTGTGTTTGGTGCTGGCAGATGGCTAGAAACTTATTTTACTGTGTGAGTTTCAAAAGAAGATCTTGTTTACTGTGTTACCTTAAGGTGTAAGCCAGACTGATGCTGCAGTTATTAACAAGAGGCTGCTCTGGCTTTGCCTTGGACTATCAGGCATTTTAAAGACTTTGCAAAGGGATTTTTCTTTCTGCTGGTTGCAGGTGGCTGGGGCTCCTTCTGCTTCTCCTTTCCTTGTGAGAATTCCCAGCAGTATGGCTGGTTCCTGTTGAACTTTCGTGTCCTTCTACTCTCGCTTCAAAGTGAGTTGAGGGAGGCAGATATTGTAGGCAAAAAAAAGGTATAAGTAGGAGTTTGTGCAATTATATGTTGATTTTTGTGTCTTAATAGTAGCAGCGCTGCCACAGAGGCAGGATTGGTACCTAATGCTTTATCCAGCTGATTGGTTATAGGCTTTTATAGTTCCAATTAATTAGATTGATGGGTGAGTCTAATTGGTCTCCAAAGTGCTCATTTCTGTCAAAACAGCTAATAGGTAACAACTGCTTCCTGCCTCTGTCCCCTTTGTCTAGAACTGCTTGTAATAATGATTTTATACTGTTTTAGATAAGGTCATTCTGCTGCTTGCAAAGAGATTATGGCCTTTGCCCCCTCACCAGGGCCCTGTGTTTCAAGACAGATGGTCTGTCATTTTGAGGGTAGATGAAGGGGAATAAAGTTTGTGCTTTGTTTGCTCAGGTTTTTGGGGTTTTTTTTCACAGCTTTGTAGCTCCACAACCCCATAATACCCCTGCTGGCACACCCCCTGCTAAAGCAACCTGCGGAGTTGACTCCACAGACTGGGTGGTGTGGACTAGGAGGGTTGTTTGGAAGTTAAAACTCTTCTTTGGGCTGTTTTGGTCATCCCCAGGTACTCCCAGAGACAGGCTTCCTGTGAGCCCACACAGCCCGTTTTTAGCACATGAAGGATTTCTGGAAGAATGTGGTTTCCAGCTCTTTGCAGGTCATCCTTGACCACAGCTTGTCTGCTCCATCATCCCTGGAGATTACCAATGTGTTCTCAAGTGTCATTACCTTTGGATGTGTTTCAGGGCAGAACCACCCATTCATTAGCTTCTTTTCCTCCTGGATCAATGAGCATCTCCTGAGAGGCAGCAGAGCAGCTTGAAGGGTGATTGATTTATTAAGTGGTGTATTGAGTCTGTCTTTGCCAGACCATTAGAATGAAAGTTCCTGCAGTGTTTTCCCCAGGGGCCAGAAGCAATGTTTCAGCCAGGCAGGTACCCCAGTGTATCATTACTGTAGCAGCAATAAAGATGAAAAATGGCCCGTGGCACCCTGGCCATGGGGCAGAGCTGCCTTCCATCATCTGACAGTCTCCATGTCCTTTCCAGCACATTCTGCAAGGCTCCTTCACAAAAGGCCCTGTGCTGGCTCCCAGATATTCCTGTGCCAGAGTCTTTCATCCTGTAGCAAGGCAAACAGATCTTCCTCAGCACAGTGCAGAGGAGATAATGTATTTGGATGCACAACAGGGAGTATGATTGAAAACTAGTTGACTTTCAGTGTGCCAGAGAGCTGTCTGAAGAGCCACAACCAGTCCTGTAGCACACTGCTGGCTGTCCATGGCTTTCCATCTCCCATTTCTTCCCCATCTGTTGTCTTGTGGTTCCTGCAGTGCCTCCAGGGTAGAGACTTTCCTCTTGCAATGTGCTGCCTGGGCTCAGCAGGTGCTTTGCTGGGGACTTAGGACCATTAACAGCAATAACTGCAGCAATGGTGATGATGAGGATGCTCTGAGGTTTGTTGTAGCCTGGGAATGATTCAGCTGTGCTCATAAAAGAGATGAGAGCAAGGCTGAGCAAATGTGATTGGACTCGCTTTCCATAATAGCCAAAAATTCCAAACTTGACGGTCGTGCTCTCCTAAAAGATTTAAAATCCAAATTCAGCAAAGAGGGACTGACAGGGATAGAGGAAGACTATGCCTCAGTGAAGACAAAATGCAGCAGGGGCTGTTTAATTTCCATTCGGTCTAATCAGTCTGGCTACCAGTTTCCCAATATTTAGAGCAGTAATTGAAGGAAAGTACTAGCTGTTGGACCCTAGGAAAGCATTCTTCATAAACCCTGACATTTGTTTTGAAATCTAGTTCAAGGGCTTGCTCATCCATTCATTGAGATATATGTTCAGGCTAAACAACATTTGTCTTTCTATTTAAGAACAATTTGTGCTGCTCTGAGCAGTATTCCCTCTAGCACCAGGCTGATCATGTAGTATTAGAAGAATTCAGAGAAATGTTATAGCTCTTCTGTAAATTCTCTCTTGTTCTTTTTACAGGCCCCACAGAGGATGACCCAGTGCTTGATTTCTTACTTTTGGGCAGTGAAAAGTGATCGTGATGTGATAAGATACCTGTGTCCATAGTCATGCAGCTGGATGCTGGGATAAAACACAGTGGTGTTTCTGCTGTGTCAGAGCATTATTCAGGAGGGCACAACCCAAACACATCTGCTCTAGTGCTTTATTGAAAGTCTGGCTTTGAATTTTAAGTCCAGGCATTGCTTTGCTCTGGTTGTAGAGAGAGCTGTGTCCTGCCATCTGTAGGAAATACATCCACAGGATGGAAGGATGAGAGAATTGACAGCCTGTAATAAGATCGTGTTGTGTAAATAATGATAGGGCAGATCCATCTAGATTCAGTAAATGTGCTTTCATGGCAGCAGAGCATCCCAAACCGCACACCGTGGACACGACGCTGTCAAGTGAAATGCCTCGTGCTGCAGCGCCGGTACAGTACGGAGATTTATTTTTTAAACATATGTATTAAACAACCAAGAGCCTTAAATGAAATGTCACATCTCATTTGGCACCCGAGACATGAAGTCTTGCAGCTGCCCTCGGCCAACCCCGGCAGCTCCACTCTCTGTGTGGGTTCCTCTGCCCGGCAGAAGGATCTGAGCGGCTTCCCCCCGGCTCGCTGGCACCCCAGCCTGCCCTTCTGCACCAGCAGTTTGGGGGGGTACATGTTCAGCACGTGCCAGCTACTTCCCTCTGTGGTGTGGGGTGCTCAGGCAAAGCCTCCATCCTCCAGCAGAGCCCTCAGACCCGCAGCAGCAGTGCCGGGGTGGCCGCAGCTCCGGCTCCTCTCCGGGAGCGCCGCAGCCGGGGATGTTTAGCAAAGCGTGAGAGACAGGCAGAGCATCTGCTTCCTCCCTCCCGGGCTCTGGAGTCGGCGTTTTCCCCTGCTGGAGGCTTTATTCTCATCTTTCTTTAATAGCTTCTGATGGTTTTATCTTCCAAGCGTTGGTCCAGTTGCTCCCTGGATTTATAGCTGCGAGCCTCTACAGCCTGCCCTGGCAGAGTGTTCCAAAGGATGGGATATTCCCTGCAAAAGTACTACCACTTCTGTGTTATTTCTGACTAATAACATTTTCAGGCCCTCAGGTTCCTGTTTGATGACAAATTATGACAAATTTTTTCCGTATTCCCATTTCCCGTGCCATTCATGCTTTTGCAAACCTCTCCCATCTATCTCCCATGCAGTTTCCAGGTTGAGGAATCCCATTCAGTTTTTGAATAGAAGCTGCTCCATACTTTTAATCTTTCTTTCCGCCCTTCTTGAATTTCAAGTGCTTCAGCTTGGTTTGTGAAATCAGAACAATCCCAAAGATTTAAAGACTGATGTGGCCGTGGGAGTTGATGATAATTTTCATGGTGTTCATTCTGTAGTGGTTTGTCATATTGAATGTTGTTGTGTTTCCTTGCCTGTGTCCCTTTCTGCTGTGGGACATCACTTCACTTATTCTTCTGGACCTCTCTTTTCTGCCCCCAGGCATTGTTGCTTGTCAGCTACAAGGGATCAGGAGAGACAGGAGCTCCTGGAATGCCTGCAGGAGACCCTGGGCAAGCCATGACTGAGTGGGGCTCCTCAGAGTCACCTGAATGACTCTGATGCAGAATTCCCTGTGACCTGAGTGGGTCACCCCACCACATCTGACTAATCTCACTCTAAATACTGTCACCTTGGGGACAGATCTCCACAAACACACCAGAAATAAGGTGCTTGAGGTGGTGTCCAGGACATCCCCACGCTGTACACACACAGCAGTTGGGACGTGATAAATGTCCTGATCCCTGGAACTGCTCATACAGCCAAAAGCTGTGACCTTTTCTTCTGTCACCTGTGGTTTGCTCTGTTCCTTGTGCTTCCAACAGTGAGTGAGCTGAGCAAAGACTCCTCTTTGCTTTGTTCCAGGTGAAGATACCCACACAAGCCTTCATGGGTCAGCTGTGAATGTCCACATCAGACTGGACAGGAATTCTGTGACTGTTGAGAAGACTTACATCACACTGTCAAACCACAGCACCGTGACCATCCTCAACCACAGTAATGTCACAGCCCACTTCCAGTGGAAGGCTTTTGCTACTCAGGAAGAGGAGGATCAGCTGAAGCAGAGGTGGGTTTGAGAGATGCATTTCAGGGAGGTACACTGCCCAAGGGTATAACCAACACATGGCCTCAGAGAGGTGTTGGTGCTTTTGCATGGTTTAGGACAATTAAACCATCCCTGGCATCAGGATGTCTCTGGGCTTCAGAGTAATGGAGCTCAGCACTTTCCATTCCAGCTCCATCCATACTCCAGCTGAGGATGATGTTTTAGAGAGGAAGGGTCGATTGCAATGACTGGATTACCTCAGAGAGCAAATTTGTGCTTGTGGAGCCACAGACCACTGAGGTCCAGAGATCCCTGGGCTACAGAGGGTCCGGGAGGCTGAGGAGGGTGTCAGCACCCGAAACCTGGGACTGCACTGAGCAGCAGGACTTAACAGAGCTCAGGTAGCACAGCTGTTCTTGTAGTCACTGCAGTTTCCTCTGCTCCAGCTCTGATGAGATGGCAGGTTCCTTTCCAGTGCTGTGCAGGGGAGGGGGTTTTGTTGCCCAGAGAGTTGAGGCCATCCTGCTGCAGGGTATTGAACTGCCCTGCACTGCCCCAGTCTCCAGCACAATGAGGTATTTCCACCCTTCCTTACAGGCTGGGGAGTTTGGAGGTGGAGGGTTCTGCAGGGAAGGTAGGGCAGCACAGGCCTTGGAAGTACATTTGAGCTTCAGCAACCTGTGTCTTCAGGGTGGTGAGAGCTGGGGCTGGTTCTTCAAAGGGGACCTTTGGGGCAGCTTTGAAATTCCCATTTCAGGCAGTAAAGAAGCACTTACAGCCCAGGGGGATGGATTGAAAATGACACTGGAAAGCTTGGGTGATTCAGGGAGTCCTTGTGTGACTTTTCAGATTTGGATGGATGTGGGTATACAGGAGTTAGTCTGAACCCAGAGCTGATCAGGAAACTGCCTCAAACTGCAGCACTTTTTAAGGGCTTCTGAGCAAATAAAGTTCAACGTAATTAGGTCAGAAATGCCTTGCAGGCCAAAACTAGTTTTCCACTGTTCTCTATTTAATTACACAGTGTCTGACTTCTATGCAAGCTCAGTGTGTTAAAAGAAAATCTCATGACCTTCTCTGGACCATTCCTTTCCCATTTCTTCCCACCTGCCTGTCTCAGCCTGGACCCTGAGTGATCCTCTTTCCCCTCATAGCCAACCAGGTTTCCCCACAGCTAACTCCTTCTCCAATTACATTTGCTTTCATATCAGTTTGTGTCCTTGACTTTGACCAGGAGGTTTTGTTCTTCCTTACTTGCAATCTTAGGGGTGGTTGTAGCTCCAAGGCTGCTGTCCTGCTGTCAGAGAAGCTTTTGAGATCTCAGAGCTAAGAGGACTTTTTCATGAGAGGGGGCAGTGCAGGACCCTGCTCTGGGATGGGTTTCAAGGCCTATCCAGGAGTTGGCTCTGTCTCCCTCCCGCAGGACTTTCTGGGATGCCATGGTGGAATTACTGTCTGTTGATGGAGGTTGAGTGGAGGGTTGCCCATCCCAGTGGCTGGAAGCCTCCCCGTGCCCAGCACTGCAGGTCAGCCACGGAGAAACATTTCCAATTGTGCTCCACAGGGAACCAGCCAAAGAGAGTATTTTTGGTGCTGGTGACAGCGTCTGCCCGAGGCTCTGTCTGTGTGCAGCTGGTAATGTCCACGACTGTATCTCCTCTCTAATTGTGTCTGAAGTTGGCTGGGTGATGATCTCTGACCTGCTTGTTCTGCACTGCCTCGATTTGCTCCATATGGAGGTTCCACTTGTCCCCCTGGTTGTCACCTGCTGGTTCTTCTTGGCAGGGGACTGGAGCGTGAAGGGGGGACAGTGACCTGCCAGCTAGAAAGCAACTACTCTGTAGCAGTGCTCCTTTCTCATCTTTTGGGCTTCTCTCTTGTGATCTTTAAACACCAGAATGATTTCTGCTGCAGCTACCAAGTAAAGGAGAGCTCTGGGATGCTCTGGTGGAAGGCAGTGTAGGGAACAGAGCAGCTGGAGTTTGCTTATCCCTGCAGGTCCAAAAGGGAAGAAGCAAGGAGTGATGCTGGTAACCTGCAGCTGAAACCCAGCTTCTTCTTCCCTTCCCAGGGAAGCCCCGCAGTGGGTGTTCCTTGATCTTTATCTACCTCCCCTGAGGAGCTCCGTGGTAGGAAAAGCCAGCTGAGGTGGCTGGTGGACACCCCCTCAGTGGCTTAGAGCCACAAGGTTCTCTGAAGGGTTGCTGGCTTTCAAAATCTCTCCTGAGCTTGTGAGTGTGGAGTAAAACCACCTGCTGTGCCAACAAACAACAAGGGATCCTCTGATCCATCTGGAACTCCAGGGCTCAGGGTCAGCCCCTGGCTGAGGAGCTGCTGCTGCTCCTCCCCAGGTGCTTTGCTGCTGCACTTACACTTACCCTTATCTCTGCAAATATGTGGCCTGGCTTTGTCTCTCCCCATGGCTGCAGGTTCTGCCACAGGCTGTGCCAGGAGGAAAATGCCCAGGCAGATAATTTTCTGGAGTGGAGCAGAGCGGACACCACTCGTGGAGAACGCCTTTCCCTGCTCTCCCACATCTACCAGAACGAGAGGGCAAAGGTGCAAGGAGATCCCATGCTGTTCTGTGATGACATTTTCACTATTAAACTGGTGGTAAGTGATATCTGAGATAGTTGATAGCTGAGAACCTCCCTTCCTCCTCCTTCTCCTCCTCCTCCCCTCCATGAGGTCACTTGGCAGATCCCCACCTCAGCTGGCTTGATGTGCTGAGAGGGAAGACACTGGCTTTCTTGTGAGGCTGGAGAGCTTGTTGCACAAAGCATTTCTGCCCTGCAGAGAGTTTCCCCAGGCTCCTGTTTCATTACAGCAGGGCTATGTCTCCACAACTGAGCTCCTGAAGTGCACTGAGGTGAGCTCCAGAAGTCTGGCTGCCCACACTACAGAGTCCTGGTACTCCATGTAGTGATGGACAGACATAAAGCATGGTCTGACCGCAAGTTTTGAGTGGAAACCTTTCTTAAATGGCTGTTTCAATGTTACACAGTTTGCTCTAGGACTGAATGTAAGTGGGCTGTCACAGGGGTCTCTCCCCTTCTGTTTTGTCCAGCATTATCAATCTTTTGATTTCCTTTATTTATGGAACAGTTGGTTTCACATTTGGAATTTTGCTCCTGTCTGTCTCCCCCCTGCTCTTTACACTAAATGGTGTCTTTACACTAAATGATAATATTTTCTCTTCTTTATCAGATATAGAATCTAAAAATCCACTGACTTCTACAACCTTCTCTGTGGTGACAGCCCTGTAACTTTTAGCTTGGTCAGACCCCTCCTTGCACTGCCATGCACATCTGCTGGAGAGGCCCCCAAAAAGCTGGGACCCCTCTGCCTCTGACCTTCTGGCCAACAGTGACTGCTCTCTTCCTCCCACCCATCATCCAGGATGGAATGGCTGGGAGCACCTACAGAAATAATCCAAGCCTTATGACAAGTGACTGGAGGAAATGGTACCTTCCAGAAGTTAGGAAGATGGTGGAGGGATAGTAGTCTTGGAAAGGCTTTCTGGGCAGGGTGGCTTTGCAGGGCTTGTGCAGAAGCTTTGCTGTTTAAGTGGGGCAATAGCTGCCAGTATTTTCAGGTGTCACTGTCTTTAGAAGCTCCAGCAGGTCACTGTAGTCTCTATAGGGTTAACTCACTGGTGAAAATCCTAACGAAAAGAGGAGGCAGGGATTTTTGGAATCACCATGTGACCATGAACATTTTGAGCATCCATCCAAGCCTGTGGGAAACAAACTGTTATGCAACTGTGACTTGCCGAGCACATCTCGAATTGTGTTTTATTTTTGCAAATACACATGATGGGTCAGCAGAAGCAGCTGTGCTAGAGGCCCAGGTGGCTACCAAAGGAGAAAGTCCTTGCTTTTTGCTGCATCCTCCCCACCTCAGCTTAGCTGTAAGTCACACTGCAGACACGTGGGAGCTGACTCCTTGGAAATGGAAACCAGAGGAAGGGGAGGACAAGGATTTGTTACCATTGCACTGCCCTTGACGAGTCATCAGTGCCCTGTCATTGCCTGGTCACGACTCCCCAGTGTCATGAGTTAACTCTGAGCTGATGGAGGTGGGTCTTCAGGATAGCAGAGTTATGGATCTGCTGCTGGTGTTGGGCCAGGGGTTGGGCCAGGAGGTGAAGGTGTTGTTTGTTTCCACCTCAGCTGGGAAAACTGGTGCCCATCCAAAGGAGAGGTTACTGCTGAGCACTTTGGTGCTTGGCAGAAGGCACCATGTCCAGTGGGAGCTCTGGTCCACCCCTCAGCTCATGGTGGGTTCAGTTATTTATGGAAAGAGGCAGATGTCAGCTTTGGCACTGCCTTTCTCCTGAGTGCCCTGCACTAACAAGCTGCACTTGGAGTGTCATTTCGCTGCTTCTGTTGCCAGCTCTGTCTTTGTTTCTCTGTCTGCTCTGAGCAGTGATTTCCTTTCCATGGATTGCCTTCCCCCTCTGCCAAACTAAAGAGGCCATTTGCCCAAACACTGGTGGTAGCCAGCTTTTCAAGACCAGCTTTTTCTTATCCAACCTGGTGGAGATCCAGCAGATTCTCATCCTTTAGGGCCTGAGGGCAGGGAAACAGGATCCACATGTATTTGTGGTTGCACAGAGGTCCCTTCTGTAGCTGTGAGTCACGGTGAGCCAACACCTCCTGTATCATGTTGCTGGATGCTGTAGCAAAGCCAGGCTACAACAGCTGGAGACTTTGTGCTGTCTCATCATATATCCACTGTCTGTATTTCATGCCACCTGCCTGTGGCAGCCTGGCAGGGGCTGACATTATGCCAGAAGTGGTGCAGTGTCATGTTCACAGCTTTTATTCCTGTCCTGCTTAGCACCTGTGGTAGTTTTCTGTGCTCTGACTCAGTGCCCATCCTATAGAGAAGGTGTTAGCCCAGGCAGACCACTGGGTCCTGAGGTGCCCCGAGGCTTGTCCACATGTAGGAATAGCCTGCAAGGGTGAGTAATGAGGCATATCCTTTGGACCAGCAGTTCTTTTTACCCTGTGGGGTAGCAGGCTTCAAAAGCCTATTTTAATTTCCCAGGAGAAATATCTCACAACATCTTCCACTTTTATAGTCTGACACACTGCAGTAATAAAGGGAGAAATGGCAAATGTTTCCCAGAATAGTTAGTTATGCCTTTAAAGAGTTGGTTTAGCCACAGAATAGTAGACTAAAGTGTAACTGATGGTTTCTTCCTGCCATCCACCTTTGAAGTCAAACCCCTGGCTGGCAGTGTCCCTGACAGTACAGGGAAGCTCTCTGTGGATGTACTGCCAAAGGTTTCCATCCAAACACACTGAATCCTGCAGAGGGATGACTTTATCTCAGGGGTTCAAGAGACTTGAGTCTTTTAACTGGTTTTCTTGGGAGCAAGGATATGAGTGCAGGGCTCCAGTATTCACCACTGCAGTCAGGACTGTTGCTGTGAGTCACGTTAGGGGCTCAGGCATGCAGGGTATTGGTGTGTCTGGCTTCCAGAGCTTAGTGGGGGGAACAGGTAAGTTTGTCATCCTAGTCCTTTCACCCACAGCTCAGCTGACAGCGACCAGAGCAGGACAGCTGGTGTGGGCACAGCTCATACAAAGACAGAGCTGTCACAGCCCTCAAGCGTGGGCTGTTTCTGATCTCCCACTCCTGACCGTGCCTTCTGGCCCTGCACCACCTTCCCAGCTCTCCTGCCCTGTCAAGTCTCTCCCTACCCCTGTCTCTGTGATGTATTGCTGTTACTGTGCTCCAAACCAGTGGGGTAGGATCTCTGTGTTGGTTATATTTCTGTCACAGATGTGCTGGCCTTGCCGTTCATCAAATCCCAAAGTCAGCTAAACTCGCTGGGCTAGAACAGAGCACTGTTGTTAGCAGATGCATATTCATCAGGCCAACGGTTCTTTTTAATTTTCTTCCTTTCCTGCTTAGCTTCATTTTTGCTTATGAATTGTATTACACTTGCTCCCATTTGCAGGAGATGTATTGCCCCTGTCAGTCTCTGAGTAACAGCCAAACTGCCCCAAAGTGTCCATGGGGCCAATAGATCTGATGGCAGCAATAAAATAGACCAGTGAGTACCATCAGCCTGAAATCCTGCAGGAGCAAGCAGCCAAACAGCACTTTGTGAGGTGGTTGACCTGAAAAACTGGAAGTGCTGCTTTAGGCTTCAAGAAGTCTGTTTTCTGGCCTCAGTGGAAGGAAGGATGCTCTCTGAGTTTCCCAGGAGTGATCTGGCTCTGAGACCTTGTTCTTGTGTGTTTGAACTCGGTTTCAGAGCAGCCAGTGTTGTGCTAAAATCTGAAACAATGTGAGGTAAAATCTGAAAAAGTAGAGTCAGATTTTATGCCAAGATTCCCAAGTCTTGCAAGAAATAGGACAGTCCCAGAAAACCAGGACTCAGTTTATGGTGGGCACTGCCTGACAGCCAGCACAAACCCTGAGGTGCCTGTCCCTGGTAATCTGGCTGTGCACAGCCCTCATAAGCCTGATGACAGAACTACAGTGAAATGTGGCATCAGTTTGCACCCTCAGCGTCCTGTTGCATTCAAATACCTCCTCCCTGGTTTTCTGTCTGGCATGTGAGTCTCTAAAGAGCAAATGGAGACTTCCCTCTGGAGTGATGTGGGTGGCCATTCTGAAATTGCAGCTCATTCCACTCCCACTTGTTGCTGAACTCCCCTGCCTTTTACTCCCAGCCTTGTGTTTTGGTTTTAAGGCTCAGGATGTGCTCTCCCCCCCTGCTTTATGCCCCTCTAGAAGATGAAAACCTCGAGCATCATCACTGCTCTTGACATTTCGTTAATGCCTTTTCCCAGCACACCAGCGGGGATTGTTTGTGTAGCTGATGGTGCTGGTAAAGCCTGGCAAGGCACCATTTGCTGTGCAGGAACCAAAGGAGGGCAAGGGCTGGCTGCAGCTCTCGGGGCAGAGCCACAGAAGGACCAAACGGTGCCCCTGGGCAGCTCAGCCCTCACAGCAGCTTTAAGAAGTGCAGAACACCGGGGAGCTGAGGTGAGTGCTCAGTTCCAGCTGCTGGGCTCGAAGCAAAGGCCAGCAGCTGCCTGGTGCATCCCCTATCCCCGGGGAGGCTCTGCCCAGGGTGAGAGCACTGAACTCAGGCTGGTAAACACAGCGGGCAGCTGGGTGATGAGCACTGGTGAGTTATTAGGCTCTAATTAGCCAAGCCAGGGAAATCAGTCACCCGAGTGTTTCTTCTCAGTGCTCTCTGCTTGGGCAAACTCCAGGTGTCAGAGCAGAGCTGGTGTTCTGAGCACCCCACATGCTTTTATTCCTGCAAATCCCAGGTTAATCTCTGGGTGCTGGTGAGTCCGTGCAGCACCCTGATGGGGCCTGGGGGGTCTGATGTCTCACATGCTGTCTGTGGGTTGCCAGCTGATGATGTTCCTGAAGTGTGTTGTCATACAGTGAGGCTTCACCTTCATCCAGTTGCTTGCTGGGTAGAAACACCTGATCTGGCAAGTGTGTTTGCTCTGGTGTGTTTGCATCAGAGTGAATTAATTCTCTCAGACTTTCCTTTTCTTCTTATTGGTTTGTGGACATTTGAAACAGTTTTTTTTTTTTCTCCCTGTTGTCCCTTCTGTTCTGTTGACTCCAAGCAGGCTGTGCATTAGGAAATCGTTTGCAGCTGCAGCCCAATAACTTACCATGTCACAGCTCTTTAATTTTTTGGGGGAGCTGTCCTTTGAGTTTTAAATGCCAAGTCAATAGGCAATATTATAGTTATTTAACATTTATGCTGCAGGAGAGCTGGAGGCTGCAGTCAGTTCAAGACTCTTCTGGACAGACTAGTGAGGATGTGCAGCCACAGGCAGAATCAAAGCCTTATTCTGTTGATAGAAAAAAATAACTCTGGTCTTTTTCTCTCCTTCTGTAAGCTAAATTTGTCATTCCTTGTGGAGTGTTATTACACTTGTCAGGGGTGCATGTATTTATGTCAACAAATGCATCAAGAAACAGTTGTAATGCTGGGGTTTGAGGGGCTGTAAGTGGTGCCTTTGTTTGAACCAGTTACAAGACGTTGAGATCCTCCAAAACTGTGTGGAAAGGCTTCCTGAGACTGAGCATCAGTGCCAGGACTCTTTGGGAGAGAAGCAGAGAGAGAAGACCCTGAGGAAGCAGCAGAGAGTTGCAGACACACTGGTAGTAGCCTGGCCCAGGCTTAAATCCCTGGGCAAGAGCATGACAAGAAGAACTTGCTGGTTGAGATTGCTGTGGAGCTGTAAGCAAATCCCATCTCTTCTTGTGGGAGCCTGTGCTCAGGGAACCAGGAATGTATGCACCTTGCAGAGCGGGATGGCTCTGGATCACTGATTCCAGAACAATCCAAGCAGTGTAGGGATAGGCTTTCATGCCATGACTTTGCCAGCATTTCCTCAAAGGCCAAAGAGCTACAGAGCAGAACAGCTTTAATAAACGAGCGTCAGACCACTAACCCCCAGGATGGGTCCTTTTTATGTGGATCCATCATCAGGCAGTAGGAGCTGAGTTAGAAATGTGCTCCCTGATCCTGGATCACCTCCCACCGCCCAGACAACACCAGACTGGAGGTGGCTGAGCCCTGCTGAGCCCGGGGTGTCTGCAGAAGGAGCACCCCTGGACAGCAGCTGCGTGGGAGTTGTCACCCTGTGGCGCTCAGTCCGTGGTGCCGGCGGGTGGTGTTGCACTGGGCTCTCTGTGCTCAGCAGGGAGAGCATCCTCCCTGGAAACCACTCTGAGCAGGCTGCTGGACAACCTTTGTGCTCGTCCTGTCAGGTCCTTCTCTGAGCACAGTTACCACTGACCCATCCTAGTGACACCACCACAGGGGTGGTGGCTTTGCCGTGCTCGCCCAGGGCAGGGAACACTTGCAGAGCCTGGTGTGGTTCAGGTTCCCCTGTCCTTCCTCTCTGTCTCTGCATGGTGCTGCTTATGGTGTTTTTCAGGAGTGGAAGGTGGCTGTCAGGTGTCCACCCAGGGAACATTCTGGTTTTGCCCACCTAAGAGGAAGAGGTGTAAGGCCTGTGGTCCCCCAGCAGCCAGGCTCCCATTCCTGCGGGTGCTGCAATCCCTGACCCTGCAGCTCTGTTGCTTTCCTTCCCTCTCCAAGTGACGGATACAAATGTCAAGAAACAGCTTTTTATTTGGACAGTAATTGTGCAGGGTTTACTCTGCAAATGCCATCTACAGTAATTACTCAGGGCTTGTGCTAACAAACTGTCTTCCTGCCCGCCAGCTGCAGTTGTTAGAGCTGTGGAAGGAAAGGATGGATTTAAAAAGTTGCTCCCAAGGGATTCCTCACTCAGGGCTGTGCTCCTGGCTCTGGGATTTCAGCTCTGGTGATAGGGGTGTCCAGCACTTTGCTGCAGGGATCTCCAGGGGCTGTGCCAGGAGAGCTTTTTCATGACAGGGAAATAGGAAAACTACTTGCATGCAAGCCTTGGGCTGGTCTGGGAGTTAGAGGAACCAGAGCTGGGCAAATGATGTGTGTTGAGAAAAAGGAGCCCGCTCCTGAACGACCCTGATGGGCCCAAGGGAGAGCTTAACTCTTCCACTGGCCCCTTGGAAGAGGATCTCAGGGAGGTCATTTAAATGATGCACTTCTCCCCCTCATTCCTTACAGACCAGAGCTGAACCACTGGATTGTCAGGGTGGGAATTGTCCCAGAGTCACAGTCCCTGGGTGCAAAAAGAATTGAAGGAAGAAAACAGCCATCTTTTACTGGGAAGTCATTTGATTTTGCTTCTTGATCCCTGCAAGAAGTGTGACTGCTTCCCTCAGGCACTTGCCTGCCAGTCCCAAATCCCTTGGGATGAGGATTTGCAGACAGTGTGTGCCCCTTGCTGGGGATATCTGGAAGGCTTTTCCCAGTGCAAGACCGTGAATTGTGCAGTTGGATCTCCTGCCCCACTGGAAAGGGGCTTTGCTGGCCTCCACCTGTACTGCAGGTGCCTCCAGATATTGCTTGGCAGATGCTTCTGGATGGGGTGATTTACAGAACTGCCCAGCTCTGGGCAACTGGCAAAGCCAGCAGTGGAGAAGTGCTTGGAAATTTGCTCTGGGCAAATATTGAAGGTCAAAATGAACTTTCTTAGTTACTCAAAAATCCCAAATGATGATCCCTCCTTTACCTCATGTGAAACTGTGGATCTCTGTTTGTTGACATGCTCAGATGAGAATCATGTTCAAGGCCAGTCACAAAACAAGAGGGCATCCTGTGTACAAGAGGCTGAGTGACAGAAAGCAGAAGTTGAGGACTTTGGCAACAAAGTCCTGTGCTGTTGGGCCACCTACACCCCGATTCATCTGCAAGCCAGGCAGCAATGCTCTTTGTGAGCTTTGTGCCTCCAGCTCCTCTAAGTGCATGGGAAGGAAATCAGAGATCATGTTTGAAACTTGGTATTGCTTTTCCAGAGTGAAAACTGGTGGTTAAATTGGAAACCAGCCCAAAGGGTGGGTTAGAATTTGGAAGCCAGCCCCAAGGTATATCTCCTGAGGCAAGAGAAGGGTCCCATATCTTCTGCTGGAGCATCAGGACCTGGTCCCATGCAGCTCAGAGTCAGGGACTAGCATTGAGGCAGCCTGGAAAATGCAGGATAACTGAGAATTATTGTGCTGAAACAGAAATCTCTTTCCAGGCTTGAGACCAGGCTGCTCCTGCACCTCAGGCCCCAGCTCCACTTCAAGTCTGAGGAACTGGACACTGAGAAGGTTTTTGTTGGCCAGCCCACAGATATGAGGTGAGCAGCAGGGGTTGGGGTGGATCCTGATGGCTCCTGGCCTGGTGGACCTGCAGAAGTTCTGGCAACTCAGGCAGTTGTGATATTAGTCAAATTTGGGGGGTTTCACAGAATTTGGATCCTTTTGATGGGTTCTGAGGGGTGTATCTGTTGTTCCTGAAACCCTCATCCCTGCTTTTTGCAACTGCCCTTGGAGAGCAGCTGGGAGGCTTCCTGCAAAACAACCCCTTGGCACATGAAAGCAACACTGGGTCAAAAACCTGAGTGTTCAGAGGCTTTAGTTCCAGCCCCAGACTCAAGGCACCTTTGTGCTCAGGCTGTTCAAAAGCAGCTGGAACAAACTGGCTGCGTTTGAGCTCGAGTCCATTGCAAACAGTTTTCAGTCAGGTGCCTCCTGCCTGTTCCTGGGAGTCAGGGAAAGCTGTCCAGCCTCCTGGCTCAGCACTGGCCCTCACAAAGGGCTTGGAAGTGCTTTCCCTTGCTGACCAGTCCCTCACCACCCTTCAGCCTCGGTGCATCTCCAGCTCTAGAAAGACCAAAGCATTTCTGGAAAGGAAGCAAAGCAATTTTCTGCCTATTTGCCTCCACCCCAATGGTGTCAAGTCTGCAAAAAAGTAGAGAGAGCAACTGAAAGGGTTAGAAAATGAGGCACTACATCATTCCAGACACTTTCAAAAGCTTGGCTGTCACAAGGGCTTGGGCATCATCCCATGGGCTGGTGCCCTTGCAAAAGGTAATCCTCACCCAGCAAAGGAGAGAAGGGGGAAAAAGAAGGTGATGATGGGAGAGGCAAAGCTCCCTTTTTAGAACCACAGCAGCATGAGGGCTTGTCCCAGCTAGTCTGAACCATGGGCTGGTGGGATAATGTGGTGCAGGCAGGAAAGCTGATGGTGGGTTCTGGAGCTCTGGAGCTGGCTGTGGCTGGGCTGATGCTGTTGGGAGCCATTGGATCAAGGCAGTAAAGAAATGAAAGGAATCTGCAGTCGATTTTACTAACAGGATAAGGGAAATGGATAAAAAAGAACAAGAAGGTTATTACTTTGCAAGAGAAGAGTAGTAAGTAGGTCTGACCTCGGTAGAGAAACAATTATGCTGGTTTTGTGTTTGGAGGAAAAGCACTGCCTTTTTTCTTTTTTTTTTTTTTTTTTTTTTGGAAATGAAGAGGGAACATTTCACAATCAAATAATTTATTCTACTCTGTCCCTCCCCCAAACTGGTCACGGGATGTTGTTGCATAAGCAGCTTTCTCCTTGAGCAAGGGCAGGTTTTGCTTGACGAGACGTGTAGAGCAGAGCCAGTGGCAGTCCTGTGAATAAAATAGAAGGCACAGTTCACTGTGGCCCTTGATTTTTAACCAAAAGGCAGAGTAGGCATTGATTGGCATCAACCACGAAAGAAATTTGTGAGTTTTGTGCAGCTTCAAGTGCTGATATCAGTGATGTTAGTGACTTTTGGAGTTTGGAGCCTGTGTGCTGAATTTAAGAATGGGTGTGTGGTGGATTCAGGACACCCATGTTTGGTTTTTTAAGCTACTGCTCTTGGCTGTGTCAGCTGGTGCACTGGTGACAAGCTGGTCCTTTCCTCTAAGATTCATCAGTGCACTGTGTAGAACTGTTGCTGCTCTTCTCAGTGGATGGCTGGGGCTGCCCTGGATTCAAAATCCTGCCTGTAATGATTGCGTGGGTCAGAATCTCCTGGGAAAAGATCCTCCATGGAAACACCAGTCCCAGCTAAGAAACAGCCAAGCAGGGTCCCCGTGGCTGGGAAGGCTGGTTACAGTGAGTCCACTTTTGTGGGGACACCTCTGTGTCCGTCGCCTCACAGATGGGGAAACTGAGGCACAGAGCCACCTGTGGGTGCGTGTGCAGGGTCCTTCATGGGGCATGTCCTGCCTGCTGGGGTGCCCTAAGCCCATCAGCAGCTGTTGGCTGCTGCCCAGTGCTTTGGCTGCCTCCTGTCCGTGTGGATGCTGTGCTGAGCACAGGGTGGTGGGTTGATTTAAAACCCACAGTGGCTCTGACAGCAGCTTCTACCCACCTGAGCTGTAACTACAGCCAAACCCTTTGCAATTCCCTTTAACCCAGCCATTGCCTCCTCTGCCTTTGTCCTCACAGGGGCTGTGTCATCAGACCAACCTTGCATTTTGATGTCCATGCCCTCCACCTCGGTGACATCTCCTTTGGTGAGTGTGCCCAGGGTTTAGATCACAGTGTGAGAGGTCTGTGCGTTGTCAAAATGGAGCACTTGAACGTAAGAACATCCATCACTCGTGTTCCTTCACAGCAGCCTCTCCAGGGTGCTGACTCCAGGGCTGCTGGTGGCTTAAGCAGCATTTTCCCCTCGTGAGGTCAAGTAGGACCAAAGGGATAGAAAGTCAGTATTTTCTGGTGTCCCTCATAGTCTGTTCTGCTACAATCTCCCAATCCTTGGCAGCAGAACAGCTGTGAAAGTCCTTGTCCCAGGAGGGCCCAGGGGATGGGACTGCAAGAGGAGGGAGCTTAAGTCATGTACCAGCCTGTAGCTGCTCTGGGCACATGCAAGGACACCACTTACCCTTCTGACCTTTAGTGTGGGGTGTTAATTAGTGCTGTGAGGGCACTTCATTGTCCACAACCAGGTCTTCAGAGCCACGGGCTTCTTCTTCCCTACCAAACATGCAGCTCTGCTGACAGAGCCGTGGCTGAGCACCCAGAGCATCGTCGCCATTGAAATGCAGATTCCAGTTCTCCAGCTCAGGCTCACAAAAGGCTTTTTACCGAGATGATCTACAGCTTAAATGTGAAATCAATTGTGGATTGATTGAAGGGCCATTATCATTCTGCAACCAGGATGCCTCTGTGTTTTCATGCTGTTTATGGGCTTTTTAAGAAAACTCATTACTTTTCCCGAGCTGCTTCCTCCCCTCCCTGCATCACCACTGAGCCACTTCTTAGTTTCCTTTTCAATAAATGAAACAACAAGAAAGGCACCAGGTAGGAATATGGTTCTGTAATAGGAGATTCATCCTGCTTAATCTGATTTTATTCCCAAGGCCTCTTCAGCTGAAGGCAGCTGTTGTATCTTTGCTTCTTTTAACTGTGCTGCTGACTGTTGTCTGCATCTGGTGACCTCGGTCTCATTTGGAATTGTGACATCTGTGTTGGTCCTTTTTGTGCCCCTCCTGCCTCCCTGCTGGAGTCACTGCTGGAGCTGGGCAGTGCTCACTGTTGATGGGCACAGAGAAGCTCTTGGCTGTGCCTGCAGTTGGTTTTTCCTCCCCCTCTGTGTTCAAAGGACACTTGGTAAGCAGGCCCTGGGAGATGTGTCCTCCCCACAGAGCTGGCCAGCCAAGACAGATGTCCAGTGCAGAGCAGGTTGTGGGCTGGTGTCCTGGCTCTGCAGGACATCCCCACCAGATGTGGCTGTATCCCTGGCTTTCCATTATGAAATGCAAGTCTCAGAGCTAAAGTGGTGTAAACTCTTTTGGGCAGCAATCACAGCCAGTGTGCAGCAGGAGATGGTGTCCCTGTTTGTTGGTAAACTGCATTAGAGTGCTTTGCATCATTTTCCAGTTCCCAGTTCCATCCTCCCTTTGTTTTACTGTAGCTTCTCCTCAATGACAACTCACTGCTTTTACATCTTGAAAACATGGGAGTGTAGGCAGAGTTAACAGGGAGTTTTACAGCCTGAATTTTGAGAGTAAATCCTTGGTTTGGGTGCACACTCATCAGTGAGAAATACCTGGTGCTGGTTTGGGGCAGGGGAGAGAGCTCCTCCTCCCTGTTAGAGACACTCTGTTCAGCAGGGCTAAGAGGGGCATTTCCAAGCAGCAATCTGGGGGCAGCAGCAAAGGGAACTAAGTGACCATTAATTCCTGGCTGAGCTGCTCAATGAGCTGCAGTTCAGATAACAAAGAGCCAAACTCCAAGCTCAGTTTTATCCTACTGGGACATTCACACCAGGAATCAGGAGATGATTGGTGCCCATATTGTGTCATTTTCCAGGCTTTCCTCGCACCTTGTCCTGCCGCCTGACCAACACCTCCCTGATGCCCATGGCCTTCACCCTCCACATTCCTGGGGAGAGCCCAGCCTCACCAGCTCAGACCAGACATCCAGGAACACTCACTCATCCTGGAGAAAGGGAGCTCAGGGTCTCACAAAGCCAATGGAATTTACCATAACGCCCTGCAGAGGGACCATCTGCTCCCAGGCATTCCAGGATATCCAGGTATGGGAAGAGTCCAGCCATACACACTTCAGCAGGTGGGGCTGAAGCTTCACTGATGTGTGGGAGGGCTTTGGCACTGCCAGCTTTGAGTATGGTGTGAGTAAGAGATCTGCACTGGGGTGAGGCCTCTTTTAGCTGGGTTGCTCGGGATGTTCCTGAAGGAGCACAGTTTTGTTTCCAAAATCACAAGCTGAAATCATATGGTCAAGTACAGAAGCCATTTGTGTGTTTTTGAGAGGAATTTCTCTGATGGAAAGCAGCAGAGGAAGGATGAGGACAGAAGGTGGCTGTTAGAGGGAGGGATGTCATTGTATAAATCAGTTTGCTTTTCTTCCCTGTCTCATTTCTCCTCTCCCAGGGAGCAGAATGAGTTGTATTCCCTGTGGGGATCTCCAGTGGGGACAGAAAACACTCTGCAGCCATGAACTGCCCAGCACCTGCTGGGCCACACTTTGCCCTCAGCTTCCTGCTGTAAAGCTGACACAGCTCTGGAACTGGGCACATGCTGTTCATTCTGTTCAAGTCAACAGATTTCCTCTGCATTTATGTCATTGTAGTCAGGTGAAAAATTGATCCCTTAATTTGAATAAAGTGGTGAGTAGAGCATTAGTCTGATGTTGCTGGAGGGGGGATCTATGAGAGGCTTGAAAACAGGCTTGGGAGGAGGTTTGTTCTCCAGGATGAGTGGGTTGAACTTCTGGAGCTGGTTAAACCCAGCCCTGACACAGTGGACTTGTACATGTGGATAAAGCATCAGGTGTGTGAGAGTTCAGGCTCAATCTCCTGCATCAAGGAGGAGGGAGGTGAATTTTCCTCTTGCTGCTTTTCCAGATGTTTGGGGGATAAATGTAACCAGGGAAGCTTTCTCTGACTCCACAATGAAATTCTGCCTTCCAGCTCTGCAGAGATAAAACCACCTCAGATGGGTGGTCCTGGCCTGTCAGTGATGGGTTTTCATGCTCATACCAGGCCCTGACCTGCAGAGCTGTGTCAGCACAGCTGTCCCAGTGTAAGGCCTTCCCTCCCTCCCCCAGGCAGCTTCCAGCTCTCTTGCCCCATCCATAGAGGGAGGTCCATGAGAAACCAGAGGACAAGAGTGCTTGGGAAGGCTGGGCCATGCCCACAGGACACACACACACTGTGCAGTTTTCTTTCTGCTTACTGCTTTCCTGCCCTGCTATAGCCATGCAGAGCTGACTTTTCCAAAGCAGAGGGCACTGGGACACCTCCCTGCAGCCGATGATCAATGGGAAAAAAGGGCTTCAGTCCTTCAGGGACTGCTGAGAAGCACTGAGAGCCTCCTGGGAAAGAAGACTTTAGTGTTGGGGTTTTGTTCAGCTGGTTTTGCAGAGTTATCCTTTGGGCTCTCAGCAATATCCTCCAGCTGTGTGGCTGCTGTGGTGGGATTGGAGCAGTCCTGGCTTCCTCTGGCCTTGAGCCTCTGTGCCAACCCAGCTCTGTTGTCAGGAAGCCAGGAAAGTAGCTTCCCTTGGCATGGACTCCAAAGAGAGACTGGAGGAGGAATAACCTTCTCCTGAGGAGAAACATCCCTTGGGTTGAGCAAAACTGGGTTAATTGAGTGAATCTGTTAAAGGAGGGTAAAATACAGGTTGTATAAGCTCTTGGAGAGTTGCTGTTGCCAAACACTTAGATTTAAGTAAATTAAACCTTTATGGTTTTTACCCTCCTCTCTTTAGTCCTTCCATTTCCTGCACCCCACAGCAGTCCAGGGTCCATGGTTTCCATCCCAAGTTCGTGCTTGGTTTGTCTTACAGGCTGGCACGTGCTCACACTGGAGGATTGAACCCAGTAAGGGAGTGATCCCCCCCGAGAGCGAGGTGTCTCTGACTGTCACAGCAAACCTCGATGACACGGGGAAATTTGAGGACAAGGTGAAGCTGTTCATTGAGAACAGTGAAGTGAACATCATCCCTGTGCAGGCTGTGGGCGTTGGCACCACGATTGTCACTGACAAACCTTTCTCTCTGGAGCTCAACTTTAAGCCCCACTTCAGGTAGGATCTCTCAGCTCACGCTTCTCCCATGGGCTCAGCAAGGAGCAGTTTTGCTGGAGTCCTTCAGGCTGGATCTTCTTCAGAGCACAAGGTCCCAGCTCTGATTCCTTTAGAAACATGTGATGGCCAGTTGAGAGTTTTTAGATACCCTCAAAAGCCACCAAAGTGGAAGCCAGTTGCTAAATTGTCGCTGAATTGTCTTTAGTTCTGATACTTTTATTTCCTCACTTTATCAAGTAACGATTCGGAGGAAAACAGCAGGTCCCAGCAGCCTCTGGCTGGAAAACGCTACATTACCAGTATAAACAGATTTCTCTCTGCAATAACGTTGCTTGCTTTTCCGTTCCCTATGGAGCATCATCTCACAGCAGCGCAAAAACCTTGGCAGTGGCTTCCTGGCAGCTCCTCGACTAAATGAATGGTGTGGTTTTATTTCCCCTCTGCCCGGGAATCCGGGAGGAGCAGCAGAATTTCTCTGCCCTGTGATACCCCTCCAATTGTTCTTCCCCAGCTCCCCTGCAGGGCTGGGCTTTATTAGACACAGTGGCTCTTCCCTCGTTTGTTCTGCCTGCTCCCTTCTCTCCTCCACAGCGGAAACCTGAGGCACAGACCAGCAAAGGTGGCTGCAGGACCAGCTCCAAAAAGGACAGGAAAAGTCCAGTGAGGGAGGTTGGGTGGGATACACTGGGAGTGTGAATTCACAGAGCTGAGCTTGCAGGAGGGGCTTCACTCATCCTAATGGCTTTGTCAGAAACCAGACACATTCTTGTAAACAGGAGAAAAAGAAGCCTTTTCAAAGTGCTGTTTGCCTTGTGCTGGAGAGCTCTTGGGACGGGAAGAATAGTCTCCTCAATGTGCCTGTTCTTTTCCCAATACCCAAATTTTGGGGTAGAAAGAGCAGGTTAATCCCACCTTAGGCATTTAGGATAGATTTCGAGGGGTTAAATATGCACCCACCAGCCATCCACCCAAGCAGGGGCATTGCAGGGAGATGGGTGCTAATCCACATGTCCTGTGCTCTGTGCAGCCACAAACTGGCTACAAAACAGAGGTGTGACTGGTGTTATCATCCTCTGCCCCCTTCCCATCTGTGCCTGCAGGCCTGGTTTGGGGTTGTTGCTGGTGCTGTCAGCTCAGAGCTACCACCCAGTGAGATGAGATGGGACCCAGGGAACAGCTCCAATGAGTTGGGTGTTCCCAGAGCCACAAATTCTGCATCTACCCAGAGCTTCTCCAGGCTTTCATCTGTTGCTGTCCCCAACATAAACTGTTTCATACTAAGCTTGCACACCTCATTTGTTAAGAGCCTGTTTCAGAGGGAGTTTCTCCCATGCCATCCCTCCTGTGTTTGTGTGGAGCTGCTGGCAGCAGACCTGTGCCTTGCCAGCCACATAATCCGTGCCTTTCAAAAAAACCAATAACTTTTCCAGGAACAATTTGTTTGCTGGCCATGCTCAGATTTATTGAGAGTAAAATAATGGCTCCAGACTAGCCTGCAGTTAGTGTTTCTTTCCATGAGGGAATCAATTTCCATTGAACATTCATTTTGTTTTCTGTCTAGCCAGTCATCTCGTCTCGTCACTCCACTCCCTCAGTAGCTAGACCTGGTCTTGCTGCCATCTTCATACTGGGGAAACTTCTGTTGATCCCATGTTCCCACAGTGCATTTCTCTTCCTAAAACAACAGACCCAGCTACACCATTCAGGCAAAAGATGATCTGTTGGGAGTGATGAGGGTCGGATGCTCTCCAAGACCTGGGGGGTTGAGGGGGATAGCATGGGTGCCAGGGCAGGAGCCCCAGCAGGAAGGCAAGTGGTGCCCAGATCACCAGATGAGTCTCTGTACCCTGCAGATCCCCAGTAGCATCCCCAGAGGATGCTGCCACCTGAGGCAGCACCTCGCCAGGGAAAGGTGAAACAGCAGCAAATCTGTTCCTCCCTCTGCTTGCAGCTGGGACTGGCCAGCTCGGTGTCTGGTACAGTGAGACCCTGGAAAAACCCTCAGAGTGTTAAGCAGCAAAGGCTGCTGATGCTCTGAGATGAGGCAGCAACTGAGAAGATCCTTTTCATGAATGTGGTGGGGAAAAAAAAGTGGTTTTCCCTCTGGAGTTAAAAAAATGGTAACCCCCGAGGGGGTGGTGGTGTCTCCTGATGTTGACCCAATCAGTGCCCCTGCAAAATTTAAATGTATCACAGCAGACTGGAAAAGAAGGATGATGATGTAGCTGGAGGAGAAGTGGCCATGTTTTAGACCACAAGGAGAGAGAGAGGGGCCAGGAGCCCCGCTGGGGGCTTCAGAAACTCGGAAACAGTGTTAAACTGGACCAGGTACTGTAGTTAAGGGCTGGGGGAAGTTTTCTTGCTGTGAGTGGACGGCCAGAGATACTGAGAGCAGTGGTGGAGCAGCAGTGAAGGAAGAACTGTGGCAGAAGGCCAAGAAGGTAAGAAGCAAGCAGCAAAGACAGCACTGCAGCTAAGCAGAGAGACACAGGGATGTCTGATGGAGAGAGAGAGAGAGAGAGGACTAAGCTCAACAAAGACAGTTTTGGGGTAAGACTGAATTGAATCTCCCCAAAACCCCTTTGAGACCCCTCCTGGGAGGAGGGGGTGGACTTCTCCTTGATGGAAGTCCTAAAATGCAACATGCACCAGAGAGAGGAGCTGAGAAGCTCGGAGTTGTCCTGGAAGCTGGACTGGGACGGCCAAATGGAATGTGGGGGAAGTGGCCTTCTGGACTTTTATTGGAGGGAAAAGAGATTTGATCCAATGTAAATACTGCTTTAACATAGGAGGAGAGATAGTTAGGATTGTGTATATAATGTATTATAATATTTATTTGTGTAATAATTGTAGTATAATTCCCTTCCCCCCATATTGAGTCTTGTGTTGTGTCTGGAAAACCCCCCTCACACTGGAGCGAGTTGTGGGAGGGGGGCTTGGACTTGGAAATTAGATTTTTAGGGGTCTCAAACCATGACAATGAAGCTTTTCCTAGCTGTACACACAGAGAGCAGCTGCTGGGTGGTGATGAACTTCGGGCCAGCCAAGGCCTGGCTGAAGCTTTGAGCTCGAGTGGCCTTTTTGATGGAAGTTTTATAGCTGAGTGTGCAGTCAGGGAGCTCCATCAGGGTGCTGCTGATGCCACCTCTGCTTCTCTTCCAGCCTCACTCCCTGCTGTTACCAGTTCAAAATAACAAACAAAGGGCGACACACCCATCAGCTGTTCTGGACCACAGAAGGGTTCAGCATCGTTCAGCAGCGTCGTGCCTCCGGTACCACCAAGGACAAAAGCACTTCCCAGGTCCCCAAACCTGCCAGCCCCGTGTTCAAGCTGCAGCCGCCGCAGATGGAGCTGGTGCCGGGCCAGACCAAGGACATGGTGCTGGAAGGCTTCTCCAGCACCCCCCAGGTGAGGTCCCACCAAGGGCTGAGCCTTTCCCATCAGATCCCCTCCACTGGGGCTTCTCCTGCAGCCCCTTGACATTTGCCTGGGAGAAGGAGCAAGTGCCTTCAAGAAACCGTTTTAAGGCCACAAGTTTCCATGGCAGCACCAGTTGCTTTCCTTGCTGGCCACCATCAGTTGCTAAGGCTTTTTTGTGTTTCCATAGCTACCAAAACCCAGTGCTGATCCCAAAATATAGGCTGAAGGAAATATTGGTCCTTCAGGGCAAACAGGAGGTTACCAGTGTCGTGTGCTGAGGCAGAAAGAAAGGGCAGAGAAAAAAAAGTTACACTTGGACTGAGAGCCCAGGCAGAAGGCAAATGAAACAAATGCCAAGTGCCTTATCTGGGGAAAGCAGGGAGTAAAACAAAAGTCCTGTGAAGGGAGGGAGTGTCTGGGAGCAGCATCGCTTGTCCTCTGCAGACAAACGTGGGCAGAGGGCTGGTCTAACCCTGAGTCCTGGAGGAGGAAAACCAACACTGGGTCAGCTCTAATGATCAGTGTGATGTCCATCCACGTGGCAAACTGTTCCCAGAGATCATTATAATTGGCAGCTTGACTTTTGTCAATATTTCCATAACTGCTCCCCAGTCTCTCAGCCAGCCCTGGTGTCCCAAGGGCAGCCAGGTCTTGCAGCACCCTTGGAAAGCAGCTCAGAGGGGCAGATTTTAGCAGGGCCTTGGGGTGTTCTCCTCCCTGGACCTTTCTTTCCAGGGGAAGTACAACTCTGCAGAGAAGCTGCCAGCTAACCCTGGTGTGCATCCCCTGGTCCCAGGACCACTGGGCACAGATGTGGAAGTGAATGTGAAATGTATCTGCACGAAAGTCCTGCTGAGACTGGTGTTCTGAAAGGTGTTTTAATGGGTTGCCTCAGTGGTAGCTTGAGAAAGACTCGATTAATCACCAGAAGTGGGACTGTCCCTGTTCAGTTCTGAGCCCAAGGTTTTGCTGAAAAGGGAAAAAGGTTCTAGAAAGGAAACAGAGTGACCAGGGAACTGGTGAGGATGTCTTGCCTGGAAATCCAAAAGGGCATCTGTGAGCTCAGCGTGGTTGCCTGGCTCCTGCAGTCAGAGCCAAGACCCTGGAAGTGGGTTTCCACCTTCCTTGGGTCTGAAGAGCTTCACAGTCTCTTCATCTCCTTGCAGCCCATAAAACTAGACAAAGGGGAGGAACGTCACATCCAATTTAACCCGGCTTATGAAAAGGATTTGAATAGCTGGGTAGCAGAGAAGACACTGAACGTGGAGTTCATGGAGCATCCCCATGAGGAGCAGATCACCATTCGGGGAGAAGTCCACTTCCCAAACCTCCATATCCTGCCCAAGGCCCTGGACTTTGGCTACCTCATAAATGGCACTGAACAAGTGGATTGTGTGGCAATGACCAATTGCAGCCCAATCCCTGTCCACTACCACTGGTCCTTCCAGGTGAACACCATAAGGTAGGTGCTCCTTTGCTTGGAGCTCTTCTTCCTGGGGTCCTGTTTGTGCTTTGCAAGGACCGAGGATGTTTGCCTGGGATCTGACAAAGTACTTTTGAGATTTCCTTGTGGAAATAACAACAACCAGCCGTGGTCAGGGTGGATGCTCAGGGAATAGGTGTTCTCCACCAGTTTCATGCTGATGTAGCCCCCACACTGGTTTTCCCTGGAAATGAAAGCTGCTTTCTCAGACCTCTGTGGCCTGAGGCAAAGACCACCTTGGTGAAGGGAGTTTTCAGCTGTTAAACCACACCTACCCTTCACAAACCAGCTCTTTGGTGTTTGACAGTGATCAGCAGGTTCTGCTGGGGCTCTAGGGGTGGCTGTAGCTGTTGGTGGGAGCACTTGTCTGAACATCCCTGGGAAGCAGGGCCACCCAGGGCTGGGCTGGGCTTTCCAAGCCCAAGTGCAATCCTGCAGTAGTGCTGGGGCACATCTGTAAACACATTTCTGGCAGTTCCTCCTGCTCTGACCTGTGCAGAGTGCAGAAGTCTGGTCTGGGCAGTTTTTATTAGAGAAGCAAACGGTTCTTCCATAACGCCCCAGGAAACTGAGCCCAGTTAACCACTGGGCATTGAAGTGCTGCAGTTGCAAAGAATAGAGCTCATCCAGAAACAGTTTTGTTTAGGGAACTGGGACCTGGCTCAGAGGAGATGACCTCTTGGGAGTTGGAAACTAGCTGTGGTTTTGAGGAGGGCTTGGGGAAGAAGCCCTGGGCACTGAGGCAGCCCATTCCCCAAGTCCCAACAGGTTTTTCGTGTGGCCCTTCTTGGTGCACAGCACCATCACAAGCAGACCCTGGAACACAGAAGAAAATCTGCAAAAGCAGATGGTGGGAGGTGGAGAAAGAAAGAGGGGCAGGGCTGTAAACTCTGTTTCGAGGCCCCTGTCATCTTCTGGCAAATTAGATTAGGGTTTAATTACAAGCTAAAGGGGAAATCTAATTTTGATGCTAGAACAATGCACATATTTTATAATAACAGAGAAACAAGCACATTCCAGCAAAGCCCACGAGGAATTAATTTCCTCTGAGGCCACTTGTTGGCTGCTTGCCTGTTTCTCTTTACTCCTATTTTTTTAGAACCAATTTAGGTTTTTGGAAATGGGAATGCTGAATCAGTTTCCAGCTTTTAATCGCCCCATCTCCCACTAAATTGGCTTTGCTGGACCTGAGCCTTTAGGCACTTACTCTTCCAGCTGATGCTGAGTCACCCAACTCTGCTTGAGTTGGTGGCAGCTGAGGGTCCCAAGCATCTGGCAGGAGAGCAGCCTCTGCTCCAAAGGGTTTGGCATGGCCCCTTTGCTGGCTCTTTAGCCCTGTTCTGCTCTGCATGTTAATTAAGCAGTAATGTATTCTCTCTGGGTCCCTCAGCAGCCACCATGTGATTCTCTGTGGCAGAGCTGGAAGTGAAGATGGTCTCCAAGCTATTAACACCTCAAATTGCTCATTAAGAGCCTGGCAGAAGGGCAGCATGTCAGATATTATTGCTGGTCCACATTAAGCACTGTTGGTGTTCTAAATGTTCAGATCAAACTAACTCGGTCTGACATCGAGGGAATCAAACATCAAGTCTCAGGAAGGTGAGATCAGTAGAATTTAACCATCCATACACATCCAACCTTGCTGGAGCCGAACAGCAGAGGCTCCCAGCAGCCATTTATTTTGGCCAGGAGAGAAAAATGTTGTTTTGCTGCCTGGACAAGGCTGTGCCAGATCCCAGCCTTGGTGCTGACCAAAGAAACCCCAATTCTGTGTTAGAGTGGATGGGTTTTTGCTTTGCTGTTCTTATAACAAGGAAGAAATGGAAAATGCAGGCAGTGAAAAAGAGTGCAAGGCAGAAATGTGACAGCAGTGCTCTGTCAGCCACCGGCAGGGAGAGGCAGGAACAGTGGGAGCATCCATCAGAAATGTGCACATGCCCCTGGGGCTGGGGACACTCAGATGAGTGACAGTCATGCACACACCTTTCTTACCCCCTGGTGCTTTCAGCTCTATGGGGCAGTAGATTTTGGCCTTTGGTAACCCCACAGGTGCTATTTCCCTGTTTAAATCCTGTGGGTAACTCAGAAAAGGGCTGAGTTGTGGTGGAAAGTTGCTGCGTGAAGTTTGGCAGCAGCAGAGCAGTGGTTTGCTGGGTGTAACAGAGGGGTGGCTCTTGGAGCAAGTGCTGGGCAGGGATCACTTCTGGGATGGCCACACACTGCTGCAGACAGCAGAGAGTCTCTGTACTCCTGGGCAGAGACACTGTGGAGCTGAAGCAAGGAAGACCTGGAAATTTGCTACTTGTTCCATTCAGACAGAATGAAAAGGAAGCAAGATGCTCGCCAAGGAGGGGTTTGTCAGCGAGTGTATGTTGTTAGCAAGTCTGTAGTAGACACACAAAGCTGGACATGAGGTGTGGGACGGTGATGCTTCGCCAGGACAAAGGTAGGGGTGGTGATGATTTCCTATTTGCAATGCGTGTGTGAGAGCTTCTTTCTCCTCTACCTTCAGCATGGTGTCACATGCACCTTCCACCTCTGTGCCTCCTCCAGCACAGTGCTGCTCTTTTCCCAGCTGGCAAGTCAGCCAGCCCGCCCCAGGCCTGGGCATGGCACCTTCTGGTGGAGCTCATGGGAGCACCGTGGCACGTTTGAGGCAGGTTCTTCTGCCCACTGTGAGACACCTGGAGGACACTGACTTGGGCACTGGAATAGAGGTTGGAGTTCAGAACAGCTGCATGGGAGTCACTTTAACTGTTACACCTGGGCTTGGGGAGCCTCAGCCTCCTCCTTTGCACGAGGGTGACAGACCCTGAGGGCTCTCATTCCCCTCGGTGGACTGGGGAGCAGCCCCAGGGTGTTGGAGGGGCAGGCTGAGGGCAGGGGAGGTGAAGGAGAAAGAAAGCCTTGCCTGAGGGAAAAGCACTGCACATCCCAAGGTGCTGTCAGGTGGCTGCCCACCTCCCTGGCTTTGTCCTGTGCCCTCAGGACCAACCCTGGGAGATGTCCACGTGTCACCCATGCCCCGAGCAGGCTGTGGGGGGTTGGGTGGGGGTTGCCTTCTGCTTTTAGAGCCAGCCAGCAAATGCTGGCTGGAAGGGGACTTCTTTTAGCTCTGCCAGCACTGCTCAGCTGCAAACCTGGGGCACAGCCAGCTTCTGCCTTTGCTTTCTGCATGTCTTCATTAGCCAAGGCTCCCAGTGGGAGCCCAAGGTCCTGGGCTGGCACTGTGAAGGGTGTCCCTCTCCCTGTCCATCCCGTTCTGGGTGGCTCATGCTTGAATTCCCTCTGGGCAGGAGGCACAGGAGGTTCAAGGCCTGTCTCTGCAAAGCTTTACTGTTTGTGAGACAAAAGGTTGATGTTTCCTTTCGGTTTGTTGGTGGGAACAGCCCTCACTCCACGTGGCAGAGATGAGTAAGGTGACATAATCTTCCAGACCTCATTTCTCTTTAATTTCTCCATCTGTTTCTCACCCTTCATTCTGTTGCTGCTTCCTGCAAGTTGTGCATCAAACAGCTTTCCCAAGGGAAAATCCATCTGAAACCCCAGGCATTGCCCTGCCCAAGAATGCCATTTCTACTGTGGCTGTGCTCTTTCCTGGTGCATCCCTGTCTGCCAGGGTCCAAGGGGGGATGGGGCCGTGACACAGGACGGATGGGTCCGGAGTCAAGGCAGAGGTGCAAATGCAATACTTTTACTGAGATGTGCCCGGGGTGTTATGAGTTCTGGTGGGGAAAGGGCTAGAACATGGGGTGGAGCATGAGACAGACAAAGGGGGTAACAAATCGGGGTAGGGACACAGGCAAAGGGGGAGGAACGTGGGAGGAACCGGGGAAGGAAAGGGCGAATGGGAACTGTCTCCTCTCTGCAGCTTCTTCAGCCCATCAGAGAGGGGAGCGGGGAAGCAGGAGCAGGCAAAACTCGTGGCAAGACCAGGCTGTGCACTGTGCAGTGTGGATACCATGCAGTACACATATTTGAAACCACATAATAGCAGTAAAGTCCATATAACAAAGTCCTGTCAATTGCTGCCTGTCTTTCCCCACGCCTGGAACCGCTCCCATCCTGAATCTTGCTCCTTCACACCTGTCTTCACAGGGTAGGTGAGAAATCTTTAAACTCTTAGGAGAAGGGGCTCAGCCCCTCTTGCTAAATTTGAATCCAGGTGCCAAATCTTCTTATGTTTTTGGCTGTAAGTCTGCACAGGATTTTTTGTGCTGATTCCTTCTAGCCCAAGGGGCTTCCTAGTGCAGAGGGGATGGGGAGCCCAACCTAAAGCTACATCATATCACTAAGAGCATCATCCAGACACTCCTTGAACTCTGACAGGTTGCCATGGATTGTCTTTGCCAACTCAGAGAAGAAGTAGCAGTTGGGTTAAGGTGAAGACTTTGGGATGTCAGGGATGTGTCACCATCCATCTGTATCTCTTGGCTGGGACAGGGAGGCAGCCAGGGGCAGAGAGAGGGGAAACCTTTGGCTGTGTACAGCACAGCAGCTTGGAGAGGACTTCAGCTCCCAGGAAGATTGAATTGGGCTTGGTGAAAAGCAGGGAAGCCCAAAGAGATGCCCACCCCACAGTTAGTAGTGTGGGATGCTGTGAGGAAAGGTTGATTTACTCCCCACTGTGTGCTTCATGTAGCAGAGGGAAGCCAGAATTCCCAGGGGATGAGGGACCCCAGGGGTCCTTCAGGGCCCAGCTGCCATGCCTTGCATTTTCAAGATCGTCTGACCCAATTAGAGCTGCCTTTCCAGTGGCTCTGCTCTCAGGAGTCAGCTTTCTCCTCCGCAGGAAACCTTTCCAGCTGTGAGCTTGCTCTGTGTGTTCCCTCCTCGGTGGTAACTGTCACCTCCCTCCTGTCTCCTGGCCTCCATCACCTGCTCTTGTCCCCAGCAGTCCCTGGTGTCACCTGGACCCAGCCAGTCCTGTCTGGTCACCCCTCTTTTGGTCTCCAGGAGCTCTGTGGGGCTCTGACTGT